AGTGGAATGACGGTGACACTGATGCTTCGACATATATGACTAGACGTAAAGAAGCTTACACAAAAACCACGTACGGAAGATAAGGCATTTAACCACCTCCCTGAACACACTTGTTTCTTCATTGATAACCTTTTTTTTCGGTACAAGTAATGTCAAAACCAAAGAGTACGATTTCAAAAGGACTATAAGAGCATCTGTGCCGGTAATACAAATGTCAGGTAAGTTTATGCACAACATTATGAAGTGCGTATCTTTTAGTAGGGTACATTGTTGGGCCAGTTGGTTCATCTTAGTAAAACTTATAAAATAGAGTATATATATGTTTACTTTTCCTGAATAAAACTAGTTGAAAGTTAGCGCCTGTCCTGTATCTTGTCCTTGTCTTTTTTGCACTTTTTGATAGGTTTTACTAAGTGCATATCTCTCTATAGCACTCTGTCGTCAGTCGAAGCGGCAAAGGGGCACGGTACAAAAAAAAAACCCAGAAAAAACACCTACAGCGGGTCATGAAATGTAGCCCGCGATCCTCATAACAAGATAGGGGTTGTAGGGACCCCATTTATCCTTGCACCTGCAGCCCACAGACTCTAGACTCAGGAACGGCCGGTGAAGATATCGATTGTGTCTTGAGGGGGCGTGATCCGGCTCGCCCCGAAAATCGCAATTGACTTGATATAGCTATTGATATAGGCACCGGCTTTGCTCTCGCCTTCTTCTCGTCTCTTTTTTTGGTGTTGCGCCTGTCGCCCCTTACCCGCTGCGTCGAGGAGGTCTCCCTGGGGCTCGACCCTAATTTCGTTACTTCAACGCAGCTCTTATAGAGACTACGATAGATAAGGAAAAGGTAGTGTTTAATGAGCGTCGCTGCCCATGCACAGCCCCGGGGCGAGGAACGCTTCGATCAAGCAACTCGCACTTGGCCGTCCAATTCGCCAGCTGGCCTCCAGTCTTCGCAAGGGAACATGCCCGACGCAATTGTCAGTGACAGCTCGAGAGACACTGAGACTGGTTCTTACTGATCGTTTTTTTGTCTCTCCCTAGCTTTCTCTGCTTTGCCTCGGTATCAAAAAAAGGAACCTATTGCGCGGTGCGCGGTAAAGTGTTCAACTTAATTGCTAAATTTATTTGTTTTTTTAACTGGCATGGTTTAGCACGGGAACTCGCGCTCGCGAAGCTACCTAAATATGTGGAGCGCAAGTTCGCCTGCTTCGTTTGCAGGGGTTCTGGTGACGTCAGAAGGCCGAGCTTTGATTGGCTCTCATTGAAGGATAGTCTGTAGACCTCAGAGCAAGCTGCCTGGTCGTCTACCGATCATTTTCATTCAGAACCAATCAGAGCTCGGCATTCTGACGTCACCACAACCCCTGCAAAAGAGGCAGACGAACTTGCGCTCAACATTAGCTTTTGCAATCGGAGCCGGTTTTTCTCTCGCATATTTGCTGTACCAAATGGCGACCCAAGACCGTGTTTATTCTTACGATTAGCTATTTTTCACTCTATAATTACCAGCGCGCTACGCTCAAGGGCTCCTCAACGGCGGTATTTATAAGCTGGTGATGAAGCTACAGAAGCTCTTGACGAGAACCCGAGAGGTGTGAGTATAAAATAAAACAAATACTCGCGATTAATATTTTCATTGAATACGTATGACGTATGTACTCTTTTTTTTTTTTTACGAAAGTTAAGCAAGGGATGTGCGGCGCGTGCTCAGTCAGGTCTGCCGCTTGTTCCAGGGCCATAGGAAGCCACAGTCTCGAGCATCTTTTAACGTTTCATTTTCTGCCCCCAAGAAACAGCCATTGTAAGAGCTATATTTTCGTAGCCGTATGTGTCCGGACTCTTTTCGCCTATGTTGTAGTGGCTTTCCGCTCCCAATAATATTTTAAGTCTTGAAGTAGAGAGCGACGCCTCCCAACACATACAGAGCAGTCGTCAAACATGGACTTAGCCGTAAGACGACCTCGTGCCAACGTACCCCCGCCAGTAGTTAAGCTCTCGAGTAGAGCCTTGTTCGAGCAAGCTGCTTTCAAACACGTGCCATTGTTCAGCAATCAGAAAAGGTGAAAGTACCAAACCGTGAACTTTGAACAACACCAGAAACTATTCAAGAACACCTCTTGCTGCCCCACTCGCTTCTTCGTGTACCCCCAACACAGTGCATGAGCACAATGTGACAAGGGTGTTTTCCGTGATATAATTTAGAGGATCTAACGATGCACTCGGACCCTTCATGCATAGTGCGACGGGTGTTCATGACTTTTTTCTTAGCTTTCTCAGAGACAACAGTTTCATACAGTATATTCAAAACTGGTGTCACGTAAAATCAAGCTAACGCCTTCATTCATTTTCCTATCCTCTTCTCTTTAGTCCTAGCGTTCCTCTTATTGCCAGGCTGAGACATGTACACGCCTGGGAGACTCCTAACCGGCCTGATTTCTTCCGGCTATTACATGGATGGAACACACCGCTACCCCCCTATGTTGGTCGATGCCACCTGTATAGTCATATCTTCTGCTCATTGTTAAAGAAGTGTCGAAGACGGGGACACAAGAGAGGCACAAACTACAGACACGCGGTAGGTGTGGTAATGGACCTTTTCCACATACCGACGGCACCAGGCGGTGGCTGCACGAACTAAAAATCAAGGAAGTGACCTACCTGCGCTACCAATCGATACCGGGAGCTACGCTGCCAGTTTCTTCGCTCTCCGAGCTGCGGCGCGTGCCCAAAGACGGGCATCCGTGGCGTCCACCCAATCGTTGTGTTTTTCCTTCCGTCCACTTTCTTTTTTCGTGTAACCCAATTATATATATGCTGCAATTACCTGTTCTGCTCGCTTATCCACAAGCTCATTCCGAATTTCCTAGATTTTTCGTTCCGACTTCCGCCGCTTGGCATCGGGCGCTCGCGCGTGCGCAGAACTTTTTTCGGAAAAGGTCCATTACCACACGTATCGTGTACCTGCAGTTTGTGCGTCTCTGTCTTTATTGTGGCCTCGTAAATATGTGTGTGTTTTCTTAGCCATCAATATAAAATTGTTTACTCAACGTTCCACTTCTTTTGATTTTGCCTAGTTACTTTTACAAACTTACACTAAACATATAGGAATACGATCTAATCTAAACGCAGGAGTTCTGTATAAGGAAATGGCCCTTAAAGGCCGTAACAATGCTACAGCAGGGGCTAACTAAACTTTCTTGCTTAGCCCATACTACAGATTTATTTCTGCAAAGATTGCTTCAAAAGTCGATTTGTGCAATCGTTGGTGCTTTTACTTATACGAAAGAGTTGCTCGGCGACGCTGTCGCAACGACGAGAAGTCAAACGTCGTCAACCGTAAGAGCATCCCCCACACAAACAGAGAAAAAACGGGCTGGTGAGACATGGCGTAAATGATGACGCATCCGTTCTTGCAAATTCATCGCAACAAATGAAACTTTCTATTTTCGGCATTCTCATTAATTGCGAGTCTTTCAGTTGCAATCTTGATTTTCCACGTAGCACCACTCGTTCCAAATTACTTCTAATGAAGCAGTTTTATTGCACGTCTGTTGAAAGTTCAAAGCCTGAACATTTAGTTCTGACGCAAAGTCGAGGATCGAAGTACCATCGGTACAGAAGTGCTGAGGAAATTACGCAACGTGCTTGCAAATAAGAGTCCTTAAATCGTGTCCTTTCACCTCCCAAATAAATAAATAATAAACGAGGAAGCTTGAAAAAGTCGTATTTCGCTCGACAGTCGCCATTTCCAATCTCTAATTTCATGGATGGAACGCTTGACATGGGCGTTACAAAAACTATGCCCCGTTTGTCGCTGTTGTACCCTGTGGGACGTAAATAGAAACAAAACATCTGGTACCTGCCCAGTTTAAACATGAATAGACATAAATATTTTACGGATTGGCAAAAAGCTCAATAATTTCCTACCAGCGCGACATGAAACCACAGCGCGAAATGAAAAGAGGAGAATAATGTCTAGGATAGGTTGAGGGATTCAATTGGGGGGTACATAGTGATACAAAAGTGTGCTCTCGAAAAAAAAATGGTGATAATATGCACGTACTTTGTAGTTAGAAGCAAATAAGCAAATATAATTTATTTTCGCACGCGACTATTCGCTTGCGCTAACCAAAATACGGTCGCTAACGTTCGTGAGCCATTGACAGCTTAAAAAAAAAATTGCAGGGCATGGTGAGTCCCGGGAATCTCATTATTGCTCCGCAGCCAATCAGATTAACGTACAAGTTGTTGAAGAAAACCTAAGAGCAAATCAAAAACTAAAAGAAGCGCGCTAATATTGTCGCAGCATGCCTGCCGCAGTTTTGGAACCTAATCATCACGAATGTGAAAAAAAAACAATATTAGATCTTTAATTGGTCATCCTAACACAAAACCCGATATCCCTTTTATTTCCTCGTTTGCTTTTCTTTTTTTTGTCTGAATCCCAGGAGAGAGTTTTATTCGTTGGATCCAAGCACCCCATCCAGAATATTCATGTTCCTTCGAAAAAATCCGTTCTTTTAATCGCGCGCTCTGTCTAGCAGCTGCCGCGCCAATTATCCGAATTGGTCATTATTTAGGCACACACTCCAAAGACGTACGCGAAGAGTAAGTCGTCAGCTTCTTTTGGAGGAGCTGCGGTGACGTCAGAACGACGGCGAGCTTTGATTGGCTCTGATTGAAGGACAGTGGGTAGACCCCAAGGCCTACCCACTATCCTTCAATCAGAGCCAATCAGAGCTCGGCGTCTCTCTGACGTCACGACAACGCCTGAAAAAGAAGCAGACGAACTTGCGCTCCGCATTGGACACGAGTATTTCTTGAGCGTTCGGCAAGGACTCAAAAGCAATCGCACACTTCGCGTTCCAGAAATGAACAGTTTTGCTCGGTAGGGGTTTTAAGAATCGTCTATCCACATTCCAGTGTTTGTTTCTGACATTATCAATTGATGTAACTTGTCGTTGACTTTTTCCTTTCGTGTTTTTGGGGGCTCCGTGCAGACGTTCCGCGGCTGAGCCTCTCCCTGGGCGCCAACATGAAGCACAAGGCGATCCGGGAGGGCTCCGACGTGTACTTCGAGTGCAACATCCAGGCGAACCCGATGGTCAGCGACGTGGGCTGGAAGTTCGAGGGCAAGCCGCTGTACAGCAACATCAAGCAGGGCGTCATCGTGAGCAACCAGTCGCTCGTGCTGCAGAAGGTGCGCAAGGAGAGCAGGGGCCACTACCAGTGCGTCGCCGCCAACGTCGAGGGGGAGGGCGAGAGCGACAGAGTGCCACTCAGGGTGCACTGTGAGTACGGCCTGCCCCTGCCTTTTTACTTTTTTTATTTAATTGTCGGTACTGCAGACCGCGGAGGAAGAAGAAAGGTGTGTCTGAGTAACGCCGCCTCGTCATGGAACAAGGTTGGCGAAGGTTCGGCAGCATTTCTGAAAAACGCCGTGAGATGGCGCAACACGTCTGGGGTAGTAGGAAGCCGATGGGAGTCGCTCGAGGAACCGTCCGTATTCGCGCGCCAGTTTACTAAGAAGGCCCCCACCCACCCCGCGGCGCGCATGGTCTTGTACGCGTGTCCCTAAACTGACAGTGCCCCTTCCGGGAGATTTACGAAGCCCGAGTAGCCTTTTTCCGCTTCGACTAGCCTTGTTAGCACTATTTTTTTTTTTTTTACCAACGTGCTGCACACATTTGAGTTCACACAGGAGTGAACTATAGATACACATAAAAAAGACACCCAGCAAACATCAAAAGCAGCGCTATAACAAAGCATAAAAACAATACAACACTGGGAATTTTTTTTTTTCAGTTTTTTTAGGTATGGTTTACTCGATCTGTCATAGTGGCAGCTAAGGCGGTTACTTTTTAGCATTTTTCCCGTTTAAACGACTTGCCATTTCAGTTACGATTTTGAACAATATTGTAAAGTAACTTTGGCACCGGTAGTCTGGCGCCTATAACTGGAGTCTAGCCTTGCAGCCGCCGGTATCATTTTCGTGCCCTCATTTAGAACAGAAAAAGAGGCAAGTTCTTTTTTACAGCCGTTGACTATGATTCAATAGATAATGTTGTATTACACTTGTTTGCAAATTGGCTGACTGAAACTGATTGAAAGCGTTCGCGGTCACGCAAGCTAAATTCTGGTTTCTTCCCATGCGTGGCTACCTTTCTGTGACATTTTATGGAATAAAAGGTTGCCAAGCAAATAGAAACATTCTAATTGATTCGCGTTTTATGATACCCAGGCAATTACAGTCCTCGGAAGCATACGATTTTTATCCGAAAAAAAAGCATGAGGAAACAATTTTGTAAATGTAACCATAAAATTCAATGCGAAAAAAAAATGTAGGTCCGTGGAAGAAAATCTATACCCGTCCAAATGTTTAATTACCGCTTATTCATATCTTATCTAAATATTCCCTGGCAATATTGTGATGTTTCTTGTTCTTAAATTGAAATTCTCAGTTTAGTACATGCGCCGAGGCATTGATGTCCAAGAAAGTTGGAGTTGTTCTTTGCTTTCACTCTCAGCTAGGCTTATGTAGAATTCATCATATATAGGATGTTCGCATGAGACAGGCGCTAAAACTTGTTATACAAAATTGAGTGTCAATAAAATACATTGGAAGGCCGGCCAATCAATGGCACTAAGTTCGCACTTGGCACATGGAACATCAAGCGTGTAATGTAGAAGACTAGATAGCCGTCCTTAATGTGTTGTAAGATAGTTTTCTGAGTCTGATACGGTCACGATGCATCCCCCTTTTTTTTTCATGGTAAATTTTTGACTAACGTGGAAGTTTGGGCTAGTTGATATTTCATGATTAAAAATTAAAACAGCGCAAGGACACGGACAAGAACAAGAAGGTATACGACCAAGGCGCTTTTGTTCGTCTATAAGGAATTTTTGTTTTACTGCTATTCTCAAGTCAGAATAAGCGGATTTACAAACTAGCTTTGTTGTGAATACCGGTGGGGGAAGATCATTCGAAGACAGTGTGATGTCTAACATGGCAAGCCCCCTATTTTCATAAAACTCACATAATGACCCAACCGTAGTTTTCGGCAAAGTTGGTGCGCACGCAAAACCCCAGGAGTCAAAAGACAGACAGCGTTCGTAGTGCTATGTTCTGAGTACGTGGTGAATGACACTTTAATGGCGAGCTGTTATACCGTAGTGTTGTGCCAACACTTACAAAGCTTTTTTTTTAGTTTAATATACCTCTTTCTACATAACTACAGGGTTCTGCAGACGTTGGCGTCGCACAAAAACGAAGTAAACATAGGATATATATTAATTGTAACAAAATGTTCCTTGCGTCCGATGCGGTAATCATAGCATCATATGAGTTTTGTCACCGCCATCTTCGCATCCGTATACTGAGCTCCCAGCACCAACATTACTGAGCGCGTTGTATTTTCCAAAAGCAAATTTTCTACTGCCTATTTTATCACGCTAAAATGGGATATTGCCAAACTTTCAGGAGTATAAGAAGTTATAAACGACAGCGTAATAATCAGCATTTGATTTCAACTAACAAATAAGATTCGTGATGCGAATATTTCCCATTCCGCAATCTAGAAAGATGAAAGGAAGGCTGAGGCACGGTAGGGGGAAGTCTGCACAGTTCCTATATTCATATTTACGGTATGAAGCATCCGGGTGGCAATATACGAGTATGAAACATTCCGTCAGATAGAACTTCTCGGGATCAAAGAGAAGAATATTTGTGATTTTTTTCTCAATACTTTATTTGTTACATTTAGATTAGATTCAGCTCGGCTTGAAAGCAGCTAGTGTTCGAATTGCCATGTCAAATCCATGTCATGTTTGCGAGGTTGGCAGTTCTCAGTTATAGGGAAGAGCGTTTTTGAACCCTACAACAAAAAACATCAAGCATAACACAAACCGTTAATAAAAAAAAGCAGAAGGGCCTGCTAAAAAAAGATGTAGGAAACCAGATTGACTGTTTTCTCATAATGTTTACAGTAAAAAGGGGACCTGAACAAAATAGGTTCAATTTTGGGCAAGTTCGCCTGAGGCTATAAAAAAATGTTGTCTTGTTCAAACACTTGTAGTGCTCGTCGTCCTGGCCTGCTGCAATATATGCGTACAAATATTTGAGTTTTTTAATTACTTTTAAAAATTGTATGAACAAGTAAATATATTTGTATTCTAATTTCAGCACTATTACACGCAATCATTTATTAAAAATGTTTTTCTGCGTCTCGAAATGAACAATTCAAATCTCAATGAAAAAACCGTGTGCAGTAAGCCATTCCGATTGTTGCTCCGTTGCATCATGTGTACGTGTCATGTATGACACGTACACATGATGCAACGCTTAAGCGAAGTTTCTTATTACATCTCCGCTCTTAGGAACAACCATGTTTGAAAGAGCGGAGTGGAATCAAACTTTGTTTAAATTTTAGATATATAAGAGGTGCACCAAGCTTACCATACGACCTCCGAGGAAATTCCTTTCTGTTTTTACTGGGTCTGAAGGTCGAAATAAGGTTATGAAGAGATAAAAAAAAAAAATCAGGATTGTGCTTTGTACCCACAAAATTCACCTATTACCAATTGATAGTTAATTGCATATCTTTACTTTAAAATCCTCATTGTTCAGGTTTAACTTCAGTCCTTCTTTCATAAATATTTATCTGTCTCACGGTTACAAGGGTGTGTGGCAGCAAGTTAAAAATTTGACAGCGACCTTTATCTTTCAAGTTCTATAAAGCATGAAATACAATTGTAAGCAGTGAGAGAGTGCAGGCGAGCTGGTAATCAATCGTCATCTTGTAAACCCTGAGATGGGGAACAATAAAAAAACGGACGAACACAAAAAAAATCTCAATTGAGATTTTGTTGTGTTTGTCCGTTTTTTTATCGTTCCCCATCTCAGGGTTTACAAGATGAAATACGGTATTTATGGAGCGATCGTTTAAATTTGTTCTCACGTTTCAAATTTAGCCGACGTTTTAAAAAAGTGGAAATTTTATATATTTGTCAATTTTCCCTCTAAACTTAACGAGGGAAATAAATTCATATTTACAGGTCACGTGACGTCAGATCCGGTGACGTAAACGTTCCCGCTAGGTTTAACGGGAGAAATTGATTAGGTGCATAGGTCACGTGACTTGACGTCACCTGACCTATGTACCAAATCAATTCGATATCACGTGACATTAATTTCTCCGCCGAATTTAGCGAGGAAACTAAATTGGTGTATAGCCGCGGGACGTCATGTCACGTGACATAAGCTTTCTCGCTAAATTTAGAGGGAGAATTTAAATTGGTGTATAGGTTATGTGACCTGACTTTACGTGTCCTATGCACAAATTCAATTGGATGGCACGTGACGCCAGGTCACGAGACATTAGTTTCCCCGCCAAATTTAGCGGGGAAACTGAATTGCTGTATAGGTCTCCTAACGCCAAGTAACGTGACGTCAATTTTCCCGCTAAATTTAGTGCAAAATCTGGATTGGTGATTAGGTTGCGTGACATCAGGTAACGTGACGTCGATTTCCCCGCTAAATTTAGCGGGAAATGCATGAACGAACAACAATTTGTGATTTGGAAAGGGGGGGGGGGGGGGGCTGGGAATTTTTCTAAAGAATTTCGTGCTTTAAAATGTAGAAAATATATATTTATTGAGCTACTCATTAATGGCGCCTGCAAGGTTTCCCGTATTTTTGTGTAAACTTCTCAGCAAGTATCCCCGACAGGAAACATAATATTTCGGAAGTTTAATCTTTGACCGGGATTGTTGAGAACAATCAATACAAAGACACACATGAAGCGCACTTTAGCCGTTTTACAACTTCGCTAAATTATATTGCCATCCTCGCTGTTTGCTTCCCAATCCACGCGAAACTGTTAATCCGGGTGAATTGTCGCGCCCTTCAGTAGCGAGGGCCAAACTCGCTTCTATTGTCCCAGTCTTCGAGATAGGTCGGCGGTGGACGGTGCGGGCTTCAAAGAGCACGAAGAAGAAAAAAAAACATTTTATCAGCGGCAACCGCCTTTTCTCGCTACCCACTAGAAAAAACGACGCCGTGGAAAGGGGGCAACTGTCTAATCCCAGGCCCGGGCCTCTTCCCGTTAGCTTTCAACCGGCGCACTTCGTTAATCTCGCAATTTAAGACCGCGCCTACCACCTTCGATTTGACCGGGGGTAAGGAAAAAAAAAAGAAGAAAAAAAAAAGCGACAGCGACTTATCCGGGGGCCGTTCGTTCCTACGCACTGATGGACTGCTGGCTCCCGCAAAAGAGGTACCGAAAGAACGAGCGACGGCCTCACTTTGCTTCTTGTCCCGCTGCTGCTGGCGTGTTTGCAGATTCCCTGTTTTGTTACTCGGAGTGATTTCATATATTTGCTAGCGTTTTTTGTTTTGTTTTTTTACTTTCGTCTCTCTCTCTAAGATTCTCGGTTCTGGAGAAAAACGACGTTGCGACGGCGCTGATTGTTATCGGGGAAATATTTTCGCGGCATTTGTTCGTACGGGGGTCGTCGTCGTCGGGATATATCGCTTAACACCGCTTAAGACTGGCGATATTTTGATGAGTGATACGACGGCGTCGGGATGAAGCTCTGCGGTTGCCGCACCTTATGGACTTTTTATCTCCGCTTCTCTTTGTTCTTGTCGACGTTCATGTATATATATATTCTTGTATCGAGTATATCAAACGTTCAGAAGTGCGGACTTACTGCTGCTATCCCCCAGCATGCTTGCGAGGGACATCACTCAGTTGGCGGAGCAAAGAGGGCCTTAGCGATTTTCATCTCTCAACTACGTCAGAGAGGACTAAAAGTCCGAAGTCCATTTTGTGCCGTTCGAGATGAACCCGGAAGTACTCTGAACTGGCTTCTCCCTTCCCCCCCCCCCCCCCCCCCTCCCCCCAGCACCACACTCGCACACACGCTGCGTCGTTCTGTTATCCCGTCCGGACGCCTTGGCTTCCTTCATATATGATTGTTCGCATGGTCCGCCGAAAGGGACGGAGATTTCGTTTCTTGTCCTTTTCTTCACCCGCTTCTGGTTTTGGGCGTCGTATAGCCGATTCGAGGATGAGTGATGACCAGATTTTTGGGTCGTGCGGTAATGGTGCTAAGTTCTCTCCACTTCACCCTCGTGCCTCGCCACCTCTTCACACGACGTGAGTATAGCCCGGGCAAAAACAAATAATGGGAAAACAAAAAAATCTTTCGGTAGTCGCGGGATCTGCCGGATGCTTCGTGTGGCCACTAGGGTTTCGTGAAAATATTTTATTTACTTTTACTTTAATGTCTTATTTTGGTCTTATAATAGCGAAACCGGTGGGCATCGAAGCGTGATTTAATAATGCCACAATGTGAATTCCACGTAATTAAATTTGTGGGTACCTTAGGAAAACGCCCTTTTATGCAGCTCATTGTAAAGATTTTTATTACTGCGTGTTCTTTCTTTCTGAGCAAAATACTAACGTTGTGCCATACTTTTATTCAATAATGGGCGATGTCAGTGGTTGAAGTTTCGTAGAATGCATTGTGTGGACAAATGGCAGCAAGATCAAAACCACTGCAATCATGTTTTTTAAAGCTGCGCGTTAGGATTGTTCTATTACGATCGTTCTCTTTTGCCCGCTAAACGTATTTTAAATCGAAGAGCATCATGCGTTGTTTAATATGTAATCCAAAATATCTGATAACACATGAGACGATCCTGGCTACCTTTATCTTTTTGTGTGGTTATTGACCACGTCTCTGAAAGAAGTGGCATCTATAGTGTCTAAAACACAAAGCTTTGAGAGTCGGGTTGTTTATAAATAAAGCGGGCATTACAAATATTATCAAAAACTGTTTCACCGCGAAACTGTAGAACAGGTTCCAAAATATATTTTGTTAAAGAATTCGAAGTCTCTAATATCTGAGGTTGTTAAAAGTGCAAATATTCTCTTCTTTTTTTTTTTAACAAAATAATTGTTTGCTTTTGTGTTTGTTTGTTTGAGCTGCCGCGTGCTGCGTCGTCAAAGAAATATATTTTTATAATGGCGACGGGTATCAACATCGTATAAAAAGAAAGGCTAATTCATCAGATATCTCGAATTCTCCTATATGCTTTGCAAGGCCATTGCTTTTTTTCGCGTTTTCATGCCACCCCCCTTTTCAACAGCTCGACCGTTCGCCTTACGTGCTGCTTAAAAGGTTTGGTTCAGGATCTAGACATCCCGAGCCACGGATCTAGCTCGTCCTAGCCTGCCCTTATGCGGACGCGTCTGTAGCCGTCCCGCTTTACGCCTTGAATTAAAGTCGGGGAGTGCCCTGACTAACTGCAGTTCACCTCTCTCCCACCCGGAACCAGACACCCCAGTGTGCAAGAAGCGCCAGAACCTGGTGTATGGCGTGGCCCGCGATGAAGAAGCCGAGATATCTTGCGAGGTGGAAGCGGACCCCGGGGAGCTGAGTTTCAAGTGGGCCCTGAACAACTCGGTCGAGACCTTCGACGTCAAGACGTTCGTGGTGAACGGCACGGCGAGCGTGGCCACGTACCGACCCCGCTGGAAGCACAGCTACGGCCTGCTCTACTGCTGGGCCCAGAACAGCATTGGCGTCCAGAGGGAACCGTGCGCCTTCCACATCATCCCCGCAGGTGAGCCGCTGACGCGACACTGGGCAGCCGCTTCCTCGTAGCAGCGCGAACGCAAGCTTCTCCGCCCACGCTTCTTTGTACTACTCGGTGCACTTGCGACGGAGCGAGTAATAATCGGCGTATAGCTGTGGCACATTTGTTCTGAAGGTTCCATAAGGTTCAGAGGAACGATTCTACAGGAAGGTTCATTACAGCAGAATCAAGACAAAGGCTTTTCGTAGTTGGCCAGGCAATGCCAAATCATAAGGGCCTTTTCCAAATTAAAAACCGAAGCAGATGTAGAAGACTACCTGATATTCACATTCTGAACACTTTCTTTCGCGATAGGATGTCTGCAGTGCAGTCAAAAATATATATATATTTTTTTTAAATCGGTGTCTTGCTGTTTTCAAGCTGCATCAACTGATGAGCTTTCCCGCACAATAGCAATAATAGTGATCTGCTATACTTTCAAAAATGACCAATGGTGATTTTTTGAAAACTGCATCTCATTTGTGTTTATTAAAAGCGGTAAATTTTCGGGTGACACTTTTCAGGCATATTTCGGTGTTGTCGTTTGCTGTCTCTTATTGCAGCGGAGATGGAAATCTTTTTCTTCCCCTTCATGGCGCGAGGAGACAGAAGTCGGGTGTATGTGTAAGCATTGTAGTTGGAAAAGGGGGGGGGGGGGGGGGGGGCGAATGGGTGCCAATATTGTATGTGCATGGGGCGCATTTGTCACTAGATCCAGAAGTCGGGTGTCGCCCTTGTACACGCCTCGCGAAGAGAGAAGGGAAAAGGACCCCGACCTCTACGTGCGTCCTCCCCGCGTATCGCTGAACGTCATCGCCCTTCACCGCTCAATCATACCGGGAAAACCTGCGCGTTCGCTTGCGCCGTCACTGCCCAGACTCTTCATAATGGCGTCGCCGAGCCAAAGTTGAACTCCGTCCCAGGAGCGAGCACGGAGGAAACGGCTTTCTTCAACGCTGCGTCGCGCCCACACTGACCACCGACGAGAGGCTGCCAGTGCCGCGCGTGCACGGCGACGTAAATATCCCGAGGTGCGCGAACGTGCCTCAGATATCGCTTTTACTTCGCACATTGTGGCCGAAAAAGACTCCCTTCTTTAATAAATAAACAACACAGGCATTCATCATTTACTTGTTATGTAGCTGCAGGCAGTTAGTTAAAAGACTTTTTTTTTCGAAGTTTTCTGCTGCTTCCACATGAATCGGACAAGAATCGCATAAAGCGTACGCCATCGCAGCCTCCATTCACCAGACAAACCTCTTTAAGCCTGCCTAAACACGTATATTTAATCCGCGTTAATTACTTGCAGCACAAGCTGCCACGTCAGCTCAACAGAACGCGTATATATACACGGGGAAGGCATCACGTAACTTTTTCGATGCCCAGCCATAATGAAGTTTAAACGATACATTAACCCACGTGTGGTGCACGTGCCCCTCTCACATGCAGTTGGGTAGTTGACTGTATAGAATGTAGCTAGTTGCACTCGTTTCCGCCCAGTAGGGTTTACGTGAGCAAAGCGAAGTCTAGACTGACGTGGAGGGCTGGGCCCAGGCGGCGAGGCGCGAGGCTCTGAGGACCAATCGAAGGACCGCGATCAGCGCGTCGCGGTTTGTCCTGCATCCGGAAGGTTATACCAGACAAAACTGGAGGAACGGACGCGGTGCGCGATGTGCCAGCTGTGCGCGCCGGATTGCTGCGCTCGCTCCGTCCGGTATATATAGCTTTAGCAAGAGTAACGTGAAGGCAAGACCGGCGAGACGCGCGAGATGGGCGGACGATGGACCGTGATGAGAGGGCGAGCATAGCCGCTGAGCAGTTTGAGTAAACGAAAGTGTGTGGCGTGGCCGAGACCAAGATGGGGCTGTGCGGTGTGAGCTGCTGCAGAAACCTTCCGCGGCAAGTTGCGTTCACCTTCAAGCCCCTGTTGGATTACGTCCTGCACTTCGCAGGAGTGTGAACACTAGTTCTCTTAGATTTTCGAGCGCCACCGAGCCGCTGAAACGATGCATTTTTTTCCCTTTGTTGCAACAGTGAGTGGACTTCATTGAAGTGGAGTTTCGTTCGCTTCAAATTTGATGACTTCGACAGTCGTACCAGGTATACATATGTGCCCCTGCTAAGTCAAATTGAGTTGGTCCAACGTTGGTTTAAAATGTATCGTGAGCCTTCAAATGTTTCGTGAGCTTGAGCCTTCAAATGTATCGTGAGCTTGTGTGAACGCTCCTCAAACTCTTTCACATTGGCTTGCACAAAATAATCACTCTCAATATTCGTAAGTATTTAAATTTCTATCGATGTAAAACACATTTCTCAAGGGAACCGAGTTATGCGCGTCGTTAGCTAGCTCGTATCTACTTGCACGATGGCACCAGGCTCTAAAAAAGATAATTTCTTGGATTTAATGTTACACGACCAAATAAAAGGCAGCAGGCGCTGTCAGTTGCCACGATCAAAAACGGAACTCCGGTAGAACTTTGTTCTACTCAATTCGTAGACGCAATCATGCACCATTCAGTAGTCACGTGTGGTTCATATTTGAAAGGGGAGTTGGCGACGAGGAGGAGAAAGAGGCGAGCGACACGGGAGGATGGCATGGAAAAGCTACGTGGCTGACGTCATGCGCTCCCCGTGTGTATACATTACTGAGTCATACTCTTCTCTAACTGACCGTAGAACCGCGACCACTCCTCTTCGATCGAGGGGCAGATGTAGAAACGCTGGCGCGCGCGCTATATACGACAGCGGTGCGAAACCATCTCAGAGATTGCGGTAATCTCCTTCCCTGTCTCCTTTCGTTTTCGCTTTCCGCCGCGTGCGCTCGTTTCTTTCGCTTTTCTTTTTCTTCTCTGTTTTCTGGAATCTTTTCCTTTTTTTCTGGCGACGAGGACGCCCAGGTTGCGGGCTCGGCCGTTGCTGCAGCCCTGGCCAGGGAAATGCGTCTTTCCCAGATTGCCGCTGTTTTTGCCCGAGCCGGCGGTGGCCACCGCAAGTGGATTGCGGCCAATGTTATCAGGGGAAGCGAAACCGGCGACTTTAATACTGCACGGCATAGCGGGCCGAGGGGTCGGTTCTCACCGTGTTCGGATGGCTCGCTCGCTCGCTGGCTCGATGCCCGGGCACCGTACCTTTCCTTTTTTTTTTTTTTTGTGCACGGTGTTTGCGTGAGTGTGTACGTGTGTATGTGCGTGTGTGCCCTTGCGTGTGTTCGTTTGCTTGGAGAAAATGCCGGTGTCCATGCTCCCCACCCTTTCTTCTCCCAGTTGCTGTTGTTGCTTTTCAGGAAGAATAGGAAAGCATTGTGGGGAGATGGGAAGGGGGCTGCGCTCGGCCACGTTGTGCCTGGTTTCTTCCAGCGCTTCGGAGCATCTTCGTCCGATTCTTTCGCAAATTGGATCCGACTGTTTGTGCGTAACAGCAATGTTGCGCGCGTTTCTCGGTCACGATTTAATAGAACTTATTTGCTGTTGTATCGCGTCCGGCTTAACTTGGGGAGATTTCTCTCGCAACGTATATTGAACAGCGCCATGAGCAGCGTTGCTTAGCCTCGATGTCGTTTTCAGGCGTCTATAAACTTTCCGTTGATTCGATAGTGCCCTGTCTCGCAAAAAGTTTTGGGAAATTTCGGGGATATAAGCTTTGCTGTAAAGGGCTATTCGATAAAACTTTGCCTATAGAATAATGTTCGCGCATACATATATCTACGGCGTCGTCCTAAAAAAAAAAGAAGTGGAGACCTACTCCGCATTATAATACGTACATTAAAAGTGACCGAGTGTTCCCCTAGCGGTTGAAAACTATTTACAGGCGTAGGACGTTAAGAGAAACTATTCAATATTTTATATCCATTTTTGGAAGCGCTGGAAGTGAAGCTTTACTACGGGTCTTACGTTGCAACAAACTATATCGTTGTTACGAAGCTATAGGGGCGTTTTTCCTACGTTCCGTTTCACCTGCGACGGATAGCAGCGGCCGCTACGACGGCCCATCCCAGCGAGTCCAGTGCAGCAACCGTGTCATGCGACTACGCGCTCCACGCGTCGCTTGGCCTCTCCCCAATGTCACGTGACTCTCACGAGGGTATAGGTGTGGCTCCGATGTCTCGTAGCGCTCGCTGAGAGCCATCGTAAGGTGGAACCACAGTGCCAGCCTTCGCCTTGGCAATCACGACGCAGTGATTCCTTTTTTCCGCCGCTGGAGTAGTAGTGGCACCCGTTGGCTCCGTAGAGTCATGCGGATCTCACCAAACGGCTCTGCCGAAATCGTCGGAGTCGACCGAAAATAGGTTCCTGGCGCCGTACGTGACGGTGCTGCTGTAGCTGCAGCGCCCGCTTTCCGGCGGAAGTAAAAATACTCGCCTGATTACTGGAAAGCGCTGACGTGCAAGTTGAACTCCGCATCCGATCCAGTTCCGAAAGAGGAATCTCCTACCTCCGATCGAATTGGGTCACTTGGACCCAGCAGATTTAAGGTGCCTTCCTCGCCGGAAATTTAGGTTAGTGCTCCAAAACGACCGGTGGAACTGAAGCTAGATATGTTTCGGCGCTGTACGGTAGATAAGAAATATCCGTAGACACTTAGCACTGTGCACAGTGCATGCTTCTCTTTGAAAAGTTTTATTGTCAGGAATACTGGATTACAAAGAGCAACTTTTTTTTTATGATGTTTAAAACTCGAGACCGTGGTGAGAGTTTGAAGTCGAAGAAAAATTTTTCTATTTTTCTTTCACCACAGTCTCAGGTTTTAAACATCATAATCAACTATCACCAGCTCGTCCGCACACCCACTGTTTTTTCATTATTTTTGTCCCTTCCAAAGGTGCACAGTAACAAACCGTTGCCAATTCTCATCCTCGGAGGTGGTGGTGTGTTTGTTTATTTTTCGTCTAACGTCGTTTCAGGGTTTAGTTCCTGCTGTATTTGACCAGTTGGCCCTTCGGTATTGTCGGAAATAATCTTCAAACTGAAATCTTTATGCACTTAAAAAAAATATATATATATATATATATATATATTTTTTTTTTCTTTGGGATAACCTTATCGACCTTGGCGAACATCATTTTACCAGTGTGACGTTTTAATCAATAAAAGTATTTCAAATTCACTTAATGTAATTGCTATTTACTTTTTTTTTTTTTGCACATTTTATTTAGGAATCGTCGAAACCGTACATTGCAGTTTTCAAATTTTAGAAACGTAAATTCCGATTTGAGCTCTTTTGCGGCAAGTTCAGTCCGCCAGGGGCCCGAGTTACCTAATCTAAGGCGCACAACGGTGACGCCAGTTTCGTCACCAAAACACCTCACTGGTCGTTTCAGAAACGGCTCACGTGTAACCGCAAGCCCATTCTGCAGCGGGCGGCGCGGTACGGTGATGCCCTTGGATCGGTTACTCACAGCAAAGACGCGTTTCATGCTGACGTGCCTTCGGGAATGGTGCTTTTCCCTTTTATTTCATCCTTAATTTCGATATCACCAGCTCTGGAGAGCCTTAATTCTCCGAATGAAGAGAACATTTAGATGACGGGCAGAACATCTTTATTCGAGATATGCCATCTCAGTATAACATTTGCAAAAGTAAATACTTTGTAATATGTCAATGGTTACCTATACTTTCCCTTCACACTTTCGATTTACCTCCCGCCGTGGTCAAAAACGTAATCCTAAAAAAAAAGTAATTTCTCCACTTCGTACGTGCATTGGTTCTTATATATTAGCCGAAAAGTATTAGTGCACCCTGCCTCTTGGTGATAGCCTAATGCAGGGTGACCATTGCAATCTCCTTTCCTGTGGCTGGTGTTGTTTCGACACTGATCAGCTGTTCATATACCGTAGTCAAAATGAATTGATTTGCAACTATACTTCGTTTCATCTTAGGTCCGAGCGCGGACGATGTTATGAGCCGAAAAGCCAATCAAACAGCGCGAAAAGCGCAAAGTCATGGCGCGTTCTATGTGCTTGACAGGACTAGCCGGCGGAGGAGCACGCACAGCGACACGGAGAATACCAGCTAGTCCTATCAACAGCACAGAGCAGGCCATGACCTCTTTCGCTGTTTGATTGGTCCTTCGGCTCATAACCTCGGCCACGCTCGGACCGAAGCTGAAACGAAGTATAACACAAGCGAGAAAGGTCTTTGCCCGGTTCCCCCATGTAAAGCTGTCGCTTTCAAAGTTAGGTCCTCTACCGTCCCGAGAACTCTCGGTCGGAGGTGGGATAACTGATTGGGCCAAGTGGTCCCGTGGACAGGGCCCCCGGAGGCGGTGAAGAACTGCCACGTGAGCAACCAGACGGTGACGTCGCTGTCGGTGGACTGCGAGCCCGGGGATCACGGCGGCCTGCGCCAGACCTTCCACCTTGAGGTGTACAACTCGGCGCTGGAGCTGCTCCAGCGGAACGTGAGCTCGACCGACGGCGCCGCCTTCACCGTCCGGGACCTGCCCCCGGGCACGGCCTTCATCCTGGTGCTGTACGGCTCCAACTCCAAAGGACGCAGCAACAGCGTCTCCATCTCCACCAACACGCTGCCCTCGCCCGAGCGGAGGACAGGTGAACGTGGCGCCTATCATTTACTCCACCTCATTGTGAGAATATTCGATGAAACAAACTCGTTACTGGCTCATGAACCAGGGGCGGATATGGGGCTCAGGCACTTTTAGAAGGCCTGCGCATCACGTCGTGGTTATTGAATCCCCAACCCGACCCAAGCTAAACTATGCACTGCCGAACACTCATTCTCCGCTCAAATGTTAGCGCTAGTAATGCGAACCGGATGTCAAATTTTCAGCACTGTTATCTTATTCAAAAGTTATGAGTGATTTCCTGAAATTTTGAATGAGAAAATGGCGGTCAACGCAGGTTTTGAATACACGGAGCTTTATGGAACCAGCTATTGTAAATGGGCAAAAGTTGATCCCCGTTTTTCCATTGAAACTTTCAGAAAATCACTTATAATTTTGACTAGGATAACGGATAGTTCTGAAACTGTGGCCTCTGGTTCGGACCACTAAAGGTAAATTTGGACGGAGAACAAGGCATTCGGCGATGCAGTTTAGTTTTTCAGTAGAAAATACAGTATAAATTATTTTTTTTATTGGTGGGGTGGGGCTGAAGGGGGAGTACGCTGTATTTTGTTGACCTAAGAATTGTCAAACCACCAAAAACTAAACATATCTTCCTAAAAAAAAGTTGGTGTATGTCGTTTTTTTTTTTTTTTTAATAAGAAACTAGGCTTTGCGTGTTCCTGAAGATGGGAAGGGGGAAAGGGGGAGGCAGTTTTTTGCCTCCTGGTGAAGTCCGCTTTTGCCGTGAGCTCACATGGTTAACCCCGACAACGCAACAGTATTGTTTATCTATCTACATGAAAGTTTCCAGGTACAAAGTCACTTCTTAAAAGTACAAAGTTACTTACCCGGAGGTTTCTCGACTTTTCAGAAATTTTAGTTAGGAAACCGAACCGTTTACCATAATTACTCGAGTAATAGCCGCACTATTTATGAACAAGGCCCTTGCGCCTACTTTCCCCACAGAAACCCATATACAACCAATCATTGCGTTGCGCATAAATAACATAACGAATAACCGGATTGAGAATACGATTCTCCATACAAATTCAATCTTCAAAGATGGTATCTTGGCACGAGGACGTTATCTCTGTCCTGTAAACAGTTGGAACCATGCTGTCGAACGCGGTGATTGGCGATCTGCGTGTTCCGCGGAAAAGCGAACCCATAGGTTTTCTTCATAAACATGCTGTTATTACTCGAGTAAATACGGTAATAAATTATATATCAATAGACATAACTGCTGGCTTAATGAAGCCCTAGAGACAGTAAGAAACTTATGCGAAACCAAATATTTTGCAGGAAAAAAAAACTTGACAGTAAGCTGTCAAATATATTTATAGCTGCAGCAACAAATACCGCCTGCTTTTGGGCAGATAACACACCTGATACGTTGGCAGCCATTCATGCTCACCCACGTCGACTGATTTTCCATTGGACACAGAGCATATGACCGCCTTGTGTGCGTCGGCGGCCTCAAACACGTGCCCAAGATTTAAAAAAAAAGATTGATTTTATTTTATTTAGAAGATTTAAGCTAGAACGACCGAGCAACCACCGAGGGATACTAGATTAACTGATGTTTCAAGAGTACCGTATTTCAAAGTGACCGGTGAACCAGAAAAATCGAGCCAATAGAGCTTTCTGATTGGCTGATATCTGCCATGTTGGCATTGGTAAGAAAGAAATGTGAAAAAAAAAAAGAATTTACACTTAAAAAAGCTAAGATATAACACGTACGCGTAAGAAAAAAAAAAAGAAAAAACTTCTTTTTCGCGTATGTTTTGGTAACATGTGTATACTCTTTGCTTTAAAAAAAACGTTATGGTACAATTTTTTTTTTTCATTTGAAGTGCATAAAGTATTTCGAATTTAAAAGGAGTCCTAACAGAAACGGCATTTCTAAAAACTTTTGTTTTTAAAACACGTTGAGAGAAAGCGAAAAACGTATTTCATGCATTACTGCATCGCCACATCCACTTTTAATTGTAGAAGTATGGTAAACCAATTTATAATCATTCAAGGGGCGGTGCAACGATATTCAATTGGAATATTTTTAACTTTACACGAGCTTACTGTCACTAGTGGTACTCAAGGACACTCGCGCGCAACGCCACTGGCCAAGAAACTCCTTTGTTGCGGTGTAATTTCAAGGACAAAACGAGCGTTTTCATTCAATCGCTCCTTTGCAAAACTTGATGACGTAGGGTGGGGGTCGCAGTGTCGGCATAATCCCCCAGTGACGATCTTTGAATGCGGCTCATAGATTAGATCCGAGCATAGTGTGGACACTCAATTTGGGCTCGTGCCAATCGGTAGCTCGAGAAGCATTCTGGTAGTGGCCCGCGTCCAATCGCTGTAATGACGACAATAGCCGAACCATAACTACGTCTGGAACTCAGCGCGTGTCTTGTGCCTTGCCAACCCCAGCGCGTGGCTTTGATCAACATTGGCGACATATAATGGGCTCCAGATCACGTTGCCGCTTGTTCTTCCTGCGAATTGAGAACGTAAACGCTGCTCGTTTTTTTTTTATTTTTTTTTAATTTTTTGGGGGACTTTGATTGCGTGTGGCGAAAAACGAACGGGTGTTCCGCAGGTCATTAAAGTTAGGGATCCGTTTTAATCGGTATTTGCGCGAAGTAGAAAAATCGTTGCATAGCCCATCTAAGAAGGCCTAAAAGGTCATTGTACTTTTCAAATATATTTTTATTACGATTAATATTTCCTTTCATGCAACGATTCCTCGTTTTTACACATTAATATTTAAAAAATGGCAGATCTTTAATTGCTTTTTTATCATATGCCTTTTCCAGGATATTGCTATGACTCGGGATCCTACTCCGAAGAAGCGCATATCGAATGAACGTATAATCTCTTATCTATCACCTGCTTGGGCATGCGTGACTCTTCTTTCTCGCTTCCTTTTTTTCCAGCTAACACAGACATCACAACCGTGAGTCCTGTGCTTGGTGTCTTGATCGGCATCGTGGGAGCACTAGTGTTGGTGGCCATCGTTATCGTAGTCGTGATGCGCCTTCGCGGAGACGACACCGAGAAACGTGAGTGGACAATTGTTTCGGCGATCGTCGCCATTTTGCTTTTAGCACAGCCTGCCTTATGTGAGCAGTGGCGTTGCTTCTTCTACTGCGGTCCTTCCGGCACAAACTATATATGAAGGATATATGGCCTTTTGGCCGTAAACTTGACGTCAAACGAACAACTTAAGAAAAAAAGAAAAAACTTCCCGGTGAAGTATAGGGAGTATTCACACGCGGGTATATCTGCGTGTTCGACTGGTGAGCCCGTGCTGACGACGATCTTCCACAGTTCTTTTGCAACGTGCATTCCGCACCATAAAGATTGCCGGTCTTAGCAGACTATTATTGTGAGCTCGTTCTGAGCATGCGCTGTAAACATCAACCTTAAATATGGGGTGCATTGAATACCCCCTATAAAAGCCTGAGGCTGAGTAACGTTTATAAAAGGAGACAAACACGCACGCAACCGTATTCACCAGTCGTGACTGACTAGCGTTGTTTTAAAGTTGGTGACACGTCTAACTAGTCGAGAGCTAAGCGAAGAATCGGCGACTAAAAAGCGACTTGGAGCGACTAGACCCTTCTGTATTCACGAGCGCAAAGCAAGCGGGTGACTATCTAGTCGCCAGTGCCAAGCGGAAGTGCAGTGTCGCCATTTTAGCGGTTTTGTCACTAGATGTAGGGACTTTGTAAACTGTTTTGCGGTTAGCGACTTTTTTAGTGACAGGGTTTGGTTTTTACTGACATTTTAGTGCCTTGTATATATTTGCATTCCTAGGTGCAAAACTTACAACTTTGTTCTTTTTAATGCAAAACACTAGATGGCACCACATGTTGTTTCTTCTTTTTTATTTCTTTTGACTTTTCGCTGGGTATCAGGCATTTTATGGTTTCACTGGCTTCATCAGCTTCACTTTGCTCAGTTTCATTTTTTTCCCTCGCGTTCCTGTGGTGGCTTGCGACGCTATGGCGAAAGTGAAGTACAATCAGAAATTCTTAAATAAATTGCTGAAGGACTTAATTTTGGGCATGTGGCTTGTGTGCAAGACGAAGAAAAGCGGAACCAAAGTAGCAGAGTAACAGAATTGCAAAGTCGAGCGTCAGCCCAAGTACTGCGATCTCGGAAGGCATCGACTACGAGCGAAACACAAAGCCGTCATGGCATGGATCTGTGGCTGCGGCGACGACAATACATACATCGATCGCCTTTCCCAGGGAGACGATGCCCTCATCAAACGTGGCGGAAGGTGCAGCGACACTCTTTGTGGCAGAACATTGCAGTGTTGCCACGGTCGATCGTACTTCTGGTTTGATCAAGAAGTCATTTTCTGATAGCCGTACTGCAAGGGACTGCACGGCCGACGGTATTGTGGAAGGAATCAAGACCACTGTAGAGGAGTTCAACTTAATTTGACAAAAATCGTTGGTATCGGAACTGATAATGCAAGCGTAATGACCGGAGTGAACAATAGCGTGTACAATAAATTGAAGGAACAGGCACCGAATCTGGTCTTTTTTCGGTGTGTCTGCCACTCATTTCAGCTGGCCATTTCCGCTGCGGTGGCGGACTGTTTGCCCCGCAGTCTTCAGTTTCTCGTTAGCGAGACGTACAACTGGCTTTCAAGGTCAACTTCACGACAGCTTGCCTGCAAGAAGCTGCACAAGTCCCTTAAGGGCAACTCCGCTCAATTCCGAAGATTTCGGGATAATGATTGATATCGAATTAAAACGCCCTAGTAAAACACACTACGTCGTTTGCTTCGCGAAAAATGGGATATATATTTTTAAATCTAATTTTAAACACGAGCGGAAATCGAAACCGAAACTTCGGCTCCGCCCGGCAACATTGGCCTCGGGTCGCCAAGTACATGGCCATCACGTGGTACGAGATCTCACGTGATCCTCGGCCCAACGACGGGCGGGATTGGGGCGGGCGTGTGGCAGGCGCGAGTGTCGTCTGCACCGCACTCTTCACCACGTTTTGGTGTCTACGGCATTCGACGACGTCTGCACAACTGCGGCATAAGTCTGCGCACGTGGTGTCCGTAGTGTGAACGAAACTCCGAGAAACAATAATCACAATCGGTGAGACGACGACGGCGGTTGTGACGCGGAAGACGGCAGTAACGGCGGGACCACGGCGGGCGGCCGGACGGCTCCCAAGAAACGCGCTGCGCAGGCGCGTTACACCAATCACGTGGACACCGCTGAGCGACGAGAGGTAACGTTGCTGACGTCATGCGCTAGGCTCACCCGGAGAAGTGAAAACAAGCAAAAGGGGGCCATGATAATGACGCTTAGCTCAATGTTGGCTCCGCCCATGCCATAGCCTTGACTGCGCTGTTGGTTGCGCCTGAATTCGCCCGCTCAAGTCAGCCGATTTCGGCAACTTGGCGAGTTGCAAAGTTTGCCGGACCGTTTAAGAAACATTTAGACAGAACTGCGTCGTAACATTTCACGTCTGGTCTTCCTAGGCGATACTGAAGAGGACTGCATTGTTTTTTTTTTTTCAAAACCAAAAATGAAGCGGAGTTGCCCTTTAAGAACGGAGAAGATCCACTCAAAATTGTGCTGGCGTGTTCGAAGCGCTGGCTGTCAATCGAACCAGCTGTTGCAAGAATTGTTGATCAGTGGTTGGAGCTGCAAATTCACTTTCAAATTGTTAGATCGAGCGAGAGGTGCTACAACACCGAAATGCTACATGCAATGTTAACTGACGACGTCAACGTGGCATAGCTTCTCTTCTTGAAGTCAATTCTTACGCAAGCCTAAGTAGTGAACAAGTCATTTGAAGCAAAGAACGCTGATCAGACGAAGCTGCTGTAAGATGTCGAGTGCCTGCTGATATCTTCGATACAGAACGTTTTCCTTCCCACAACGCGGGTCACTGCTTTAACACCAAGCACCATTTGCACCATTTGGATCCACGGTCTTATTTTGGTTACCTGTTCGGTAAACACACCAAGGAGATGTAGGACAAGGGTTTTTTTCTCCTTGATGAAGGTGCGTTGCGAAAGCGGTGCATGAAGTTGTATCACTTGTGCAGCAAATGCGACAACGTAGAAATCCTGTGCAAGACAGCGCAGCTTGTAGTAGAGAAGGCGTTATGTGCCCTAAAGCCATCACTTATTACACTGCTTGAAACAGTGGGTGTGGATTGTTCTGATATTTCGCAAATAGAAAGCCAGTGGAAGGCACTTGCGACTTAACATGGTCTAAGATAGACACAACTGAAGCTTTTTTGGAGTGAAGTGAACATGTACTAAGATGCCTGCGGACAAAACCAATTTGCTGCTCTAGCGAGCTTCGTTGTGACAATGTTGGTAATGCCATAATCTAACTTAAGCGATCCTTCAACGAACTTAACTTGGTAAAGACCACGCTTTGTAATAGGATGGCGCCTTCGATGACAAATGCCATCCTGACAATGAGATCGGGACTTAGACAAAAGGCATGAGAAGACGTGTGTTGTATAGACACTGCCGGAGGCAGTTGTCCGGTTCATCGGCACAGCTGAAGCCTACGGAGCTGACAACGAGCCTTCAAGTATAATTACAATAGAGGAAGAACTCTTCTTTTAGACTGCACATGTTCACACTTTATGCGCTTGCATTTTGGATGACACCACCTAGCATGCAGTGTGTTTCTGTGGGTCAGACACCTATTTCACTGGGCTTCCAAGGCTTCTAGATTTCCTTGTTTTTGAACGGAGTGTTGTCACTTCGTTTAAATGTACTTTTTTCTTTGTGATACTGCAAATGCAAATAACAGCTTTTTTTTTTTTTTTTTTTGTAGAACGTGATTTTTTGATCAGTTTATTCAGAGAGGCGGCCAGCGGCGGACGTTTTGGTTTTCTGAAGGATGCACTAAAAGCATATTTATTTGCACAAAGTGTCACAGTGACGTGCTTTAAGCAGATATGTTCGAGCCCGCCTGTTTGCACTTGCTAGTCAGCCACTCTGGGGAAGCGGGAAAACATAAAACTTTCCTGATTGATGGGACGGCATAGGTTAAGTCATGTTTCCAGAGAGTTCATGACAGACAATTCCCAAGGAGGCGTCACTTCGGCTGCACTAAGACATCAATTGCTACTAAACACTCGATCGAGAACAAGGCTGTGATGGCCACGTGGCATTGATCGAGAGAACTTGCATGCCATGTCACTGGTATGATGTCGGCTGTGCCAATTACTCATCTGGGTGCAACACGTTACAATGTTTAATCACAAGAAGATACTAACACTGTGGCGCACACCTGTGCGCATTAACGTTTATCTCTTTCGAGATCTGCTCGGGCAGCATACAATAAACCAGGACCTTTTGCTGCTTCTGGAGGCGAACATCGAGAAATGTCTCTCTCTCCGAACCATATACGTCAAATCAGAAAAGCGAAGACATCAAGGCAAAAATTTTGATCTACTGTCACTGCGGCAAACCAACACGCGAAATATAATTAAGTGAGTAAAAAAAGACAGGGACTATCCAAGGAACCCCGGTCCGCCCCCAAAAAAGCCTACAAATCCATCCCAACAATTTGATTGGATAGTGTCGGTTAACCTTTTTGTCAAGACACACTCTCAAATACTTGATTTAGCCAGCATATCAGATTGACAACTTCAAAGGGATTAGGCCCAGCTTTCGAAATTTAGCGAATTAGCGATGTTTTATCGACCTTTTTGACAATTCGAACGTCTTTCTAGGGACTTTCTAGTGACGACATGTGTTTAAAAAAATGGCAACACTGTAAAAGTGACATACAAAAGATAAGTCGCGCATTCGCGCACTTAGATGCCACTGCGTGAATGGGGATTTTATTATGTAAAAAACTAGTATTTGAATATATATTAGCAAAAATATCTTATAAGGAAGAACTAATTTTCCGAAACATCGTTTTTTTTTTCTTTAATGCAATAAAAAAAAAGTTTAAGGGAGAAAACACGGAAGCCGCATTGCCAGCGACATACGCAAATATAGAAGTGCCCGTAACTACGGGCTCTCTCGTCGTCCAGCGTCTTGCTAAGATCGCTTTAGCGCTATCTCTGACCTCTGAACAAGTCAATTCTCACAATACTTGCTGCTCCGATTCTTCCTGGCTCTCTCCCCCAGGGTTCCAGGACAGTAAGCACTTTATTAGCGCTGGCGGTCAGTGGTGATAGGAGTTGGCCATAGCGCAGAGCTGCTAGTCACCCGCTGAACACTGGCTAAACTCCCCGACTAAGATTTCTCAGTCGCCTTCGAAGTCGCGTGGGGCGACTAAGCCATAAACATGCTCGGTGAATACCGAGTGCTTACTCAGCTGTGATTACTAGCTGCCACGTGATCATTTTAATCGATTACGTAGGCCGTTTCCCAAAATTTACTCGATCTTGCTCCAGGATAAGAGCTTTGTACCTTGGCGTTCCAAAACCTACCCGCGTCCATCGTTCATCAATCTGTGTTGTCACGTGACACGACCCGCCGGAGTAACTGAGTAACCTTAAATAGCCTGAAAACACTCCAAAAACTGAAGTTTTTTTTTTCTTTAACTGAGTAACTTTTAAAGAGATTGTATAAAAAAAATTTACATAATAGCTCAAAATTGTTTGCTCCAAAAGTGGGAATCTCTTCCCCAAAACCCATTGTTCCCTGCTACAAGAGCTGCTCCAAATCACCGTTTGTCAGTTCCAGCACCGCAAGGGGCAAATAGAAAAAAAGTGAAGTATCACTACGAATTTTGGGCTAGACAGCTAGGTGAAGGCGATCTTCGCTCAATAAACATTTATTTGTTTCTTCTTTTTCGTTACAGCTCCCTCACATTGTAGGATCGATCACTTACCACGAGCCACGATGCATTATTCATCACGATAATTAAGAAAAAAAAGCACACGCGAAGAGCATGACACGTGATGCGAGAGCGAAACAACGTTTCGATTTTCCCTCTGACCGTTGCTACATCCCGAACGGGGATACTTTTTCCCATAGCCGTCGAAAGGCTCTCGTTTGGTCGGCTTCCCGACGGTTCGAGGAAGCCTCACGGGTCCCTCGGCCTGCCATTGGCCAATCAAGGCTGCCTCTGTCCGGCAGCGCGTATTCCTTTCTCGGAAATAATGAGGCAATCGGCTTCGCTGTCGTTGAGGACGAAAGGTGACCTGCTCTGTCCAGCCAGGAGATTGCGTTACCATCATGCAAGATGCTCGATTCCCTCGCCGCGATGTCAGCGTTGACGTCAAAACCGATGCTCCCCGTGTTCGTCCCGACGTTGTTCCTGAGTTCTAGACAAGTTTCGTCCGCGTGCAACGATTTCCGGGATGTTCGAGGTGACGAACGGAGAGGTGAATGATGATTCTGCCGAACGCTAAGCATAACAAGGCTGCCAATGCAGTAGCGAATGAGAAGCGCTGTCCACGATGACGCAACGAGCAACTTAGAACTGTAAAGAGTCGATTACGCTGTCTAAGGTTTGGCGCCCTCATTCACGAATAAAGGGGGTGACGTTGAGATTTCCCGTCACGCTAACTCTTGACATGTAGATGATCTCGATTTGGCGTAGAATCAATAACTCGAAGATACAAACGGAAGTAATTAACATATATGTGCGACTACCTGCTACATATTGGGGAATGTAATATATTTGGTAGCACGCACTTCCGTCGCTGACATTTTAAGAAACACACGGCGTGACTTATCATATGTCCGTTTCTTGTTTCGTTATTCTCCATTATGGCCAGTGGCGCAGTTTGATTGACTGTGGATCAACAGTATTATGCTAGGAACTCGCCACATCCGGTGTTTCTTATAATGTCAGGGACTATAGCAGGGTATGCATAAACAACGACATTATATTTGTTTAACGTGCAATATAACTTTAATGTATAATTATGGACTTTTGTCAATCCAATTTTATTGTTGTGTTTTATAATATAACAATAGGATTAGTAAGATATATCTCTTATGGCTGAATATGCTTATAATATTGTTTATTTTTCGAAATGCGAGGATAAATGAACCGTGCTCTTCAAAGGCAAATAAAAATTAAAAAGCGGCTAATAAAAAAATTAAACAATGCCGGTTCTTTTAATTTTTGTCCTTCGAGGGTTTTAGTGACCGTTCAACAATAAATACGCGCTAAGAAACAATGGCAGGCATTGCTGTAAAACAATGACAATCTAAAAAAAGAAAATCTTAACTTGCTCGAGGTACAAACCAAGGACTCTAAATTTATCGCCCCAAAACGCTTCTTTTTTATAATTTTTTTGTAGGGTTGTTCAAGTACCAACATGTTTTATTTTAACATGACGGCAAGGTCTCCCGTTCACACTGCATTAAAAAATGTGTTCGGTTTGTCTTGTGCCTTCACCCTTCAGTTATTTCGACGCTGAAATAGATGTAGAACCGCGATTCATATGTCTGTTCTGACTTTGGATTTTTTTTTGTTTTTACTGTGATTTTTACGAGAGTCAGGAAATATCATGATTCTCCCACCGATTAATTTTATTATCAATTAATATTCGACTTATTTTTTAACGAATTATTGGGCTAAAAGTAGATTTGGTTGTCACCGGCGTCATTTTCTTCGCTCAAAAACTGCATCAAGAATGTAATCACGGCCAAGAGGCTTGTTTTGTAGACTTTTTTTTTTTGTTTCATAGTACAAAACTGCGAACTTGTTTTCACGAGCTTTTGATATATTTGTGAGGAACAACCGATTATCTGTAATTCATCATGACTCGATGTAAATCTTGACTGTAGAACATTTGCGGTTCCTGACATTTTTAAAGTATATAAATACTGCATGCTCTGACGAGCGCGTTTAATTAAAATAATGTATACGTTTCCTTCTGTACCATCCTCTACTTCTGCCATCGGTCCGTGACATTTGAGTGTAAGCCAGAGACCAATGAAAACGTACTATTCTTATATGGCTTGAAGACTGCAATAATTCCAGCAATTGTGTTCACCATATGTAAAGTATTTTACGAGATGTAGCCCGCGCAGTATACATGTTTTGAAGTTAAAATTTTAGGCTGTGCGGACAATCTAGGCCTGCGGAATATACATAAATTTTGTTTTTAAGGTCGTTCATTATGACGAGACGTGACTGCTTTTTGTGAGTGAAACAGTATGTTAATGATGATTTATGTGTATTACAAGCTTTTTTGTGCACTCAGAAAGCAGACATCTGTCAAGGCACGTGTATGAGAAGATTTTCGTGTCGACTAAGCATAAGGGACGGACTATGCACGGCGTGCAGAGTATTCACCGGATGCGGACTATATAAGCAAAAGCGTTTATTTTTGACCCCGAATTCGCCTCTCCGGACTATAGCTTGAAAAATACGGTATATGGTGTTTTTTTTTTTTTTTTATACTGTTTAGATTTTTTTTAATCATCTCTGAGACCTCACCTTAGCTTGATTAAACGATTAGCCATTTAATTCATCCCGAATAAACACTTACGTGTGCTTCAGTGGTGTTTACCCCAACTGTTTTTGTTGACGTTCTCACGAGTTTTCTCGTTCCTGTTCTAGGCCCTACCGAGGACAGTCCAGAAAAGTAAGTGCATTCGTTTTATATTCGTAACACTCTGACGAATAGTATATAAAAAAAACGGCGCAAAAATACTGCGGCAAAAATAAACAAAAGATAAACACCTTTTTGTTTAAGCTGCAAAGACATTTTTAGCAAGAATAGAACGATTCATTTGTGCCAGTAAATTCAGAAGCAGCCCAAAATTGTTTCCCCTTCAACGTCCACTCGGAGACAGCCCAGGATTGGCATCGCCGCCGGGCATTCACCTTTAGAAGCGGCCCTAAAATTGTTTCATAAAAACTCACAAAAAAAAAAAGGGGGACAGAAACAGAAACACGATCAGCAGCCAGCAGAACGCTTCAATAAACGCCCGCTGAAGTACGTCAGAGGTAGATAAAAACCACGCGGCCGGCAGAAATCTGGCTGCAAAAGCAAGAAAAGTATAACAAAGGGAAATGAACGCCGGGTTGAAATGAAAGCTGGCAGCGGGTCTTCGCGGGTTGCTTTGTAGCTTCGCTTCCAATATGGGCCCCTCACCTCTTTTACAGCCCCGATATTGCCGGGGTCTTCCTTTCGGTCGATACCTCATATAACTGGGAGCGGCGAGTTCGCACTGTTTGAAGAAACTGCGAAACAAAAAACAACTAACCAACAACAACAACAAAGAAAGAACCTAAATAGAAGCTACATATACGTATATAGATATATTGTAAGAACTCCTTCCGTGTCCTTCTTACAGACTAACCCGATTCCGAGGAGATTTTCAGTTCATTGCTCTAATGTCTTTATGGATCTAAGCTCGGAGCTGGAAACACTCCTCGCAGATTCCGTGTTAGAAAGTGGTCGAGCGGAATGTGAACCTACTTCAAAAACGAGAGGACAACTTCAAAGCTCGACGTATTATGAAAGGGTTTTCTTCGAGATGAAGGAAACTGAACTAGTGGTGAGTTCGGCTCTACAGCTTTCCAAAGGTGTGTGCTCTTTGCTCCTGACAAACGAAACTTTTGAATCGAATATAGGTTTTAAATAAATTTTGGGGGTAAGCAATGTGGAAGACTTAAGTCGGCATTTGTGATGAGTGCCGCTATGAGGATTCGATGGTCAGTCTTGTAAAAGGCAAGATTGTACGAATACGGGTTGTATTAGCGGCATTTCTGCCTCGTTCGGTCAAATTGGCATTAACTAGCCGTTGTCCGTTTAAGTGATTCTTGTTCTTGTCAGCGGTGCAGAATGAAAAATATCCGCTTCTATGGTTGCGTACACTTAGAGCCTATGGTCGGGGACAGGTTAAGAGAAAAAAGCGGAAGCTCCTTCCACCTCTTTCCACTTTAGCAGAACGAACGCTTTAGGGAAGGTCGCATCCTTTCCAGTGTTCACTCTGTTAAAATGTAAAGAGGTGAGAGGAGCTTCCGTTTTACTCTTAGCCTATCCCCAACTTTGGCAACAAGAAACACACAATAGAAACAATATTGGGTATTCTTTCAAATAGAAAAGTCAAAGTAATTTATCTTATATTGCAGTCGGTCTCCTCTTCTTTTCTTTTTTCTTTCTTGAATACTTTAGAATCGATAGTTTGCATATCTGCCTTTTACTTTTTTTGTTCCTTTAATTTGTCCTTGCATGTGAAATTGACTTGTTGGTACGACTGTTAATATTTAGTTACATTATGTACCACTACCTATACTCAAGGACCAACAGTAGGAAAGGTAGCAGAATGAACGGTTTAAATAAATAGTCATAGCAACTTTAAATTGGGTACAGTGAAACTTTATAGCCCTCACAAAGTAACTAAAAGATGTCGAAATGTCGATCCCTTCAATTAGCTCGTTCCAGTCTTGAATGGCGCCAAGAAAGAAATAATAATCAAAGCAGTCGTTCCTGACCATGTATTAAAATATTTCTTGCGAATGGTTTCGTCGTAAGGACTCGAACTATGACGGATTTAGATATTTTGAAGTTTAAGGCGGCTCGGATGCTTCGAGGCAAAGCGCCGGCCTACGGATCCCCAGTCGATGGGTTCCAATCCCGGCCGAGTGCCCGCAATCAGACGTAGGCTTATTACGGTGAAGGCGCCATGTAACCGAGATTTCGGTTGCACGTAAAAAGATCCCCAGGTGGTAGAAATGAATCCTCAGTCCACTGCTGGGGCGTGCCAGATGACCGTCATCAATTTGGCACGTAAACACCCCCTTCGGGCCACAAAAAAAAATATATATAGAGATATATATATATATATAAGTAAAACAAAAACTCACGGTGAGAAACAACAAACAGCGGCAGTTTAATCATCTATCACTTACTACTTTCGTTCGATAAGCTTTTCTTAGCCCGTGGATGATGATTCTCTGCTCGTTATATGAAGTAAACCGAGCAGCCAATTTGTGAAACTTTCACGTAAAGCTGTTTACGGTACCTTGATACCTGCGCGTAAACAGTTCACTAAAAAGCGAATCGTTCTTATGGCGAAAACAGTGTTGCACAAAACGACTTTCCAATTAATGCCACTTCCGGAGCGTAAATTCCTTAGTCGATTCACGCGGTATGAGCCGTTCACACATGGTTATAGCGGTAATCTCTTCTTTTGTTTCTTTTTTTTTTTTTTTTGACAGAAGTCAAAACCACCAACGGAAAACGACGGATGACCTAACGTTGACCGATTTGGACACTAAAGACCCGTCCGTCATTCAGAAAAACACCGACCCTCAAGGTGAGCAGTTCGATGGGCCCATCAGCTTTTGTAACCACTGTTTCAATTGTTTTTGTGTGTATTTCTGTGTGCTCTCCCACATTCCTTCACACTCCATTTCAAGTTACATCAGAGCGCAGCGGACACGACCATCCGATTGGAACAATCGGAGGGCGCTAAATGTGCAACGTCACGACATTTGTCATTTTGCTGTGCGACTGTTATAATCCCCTAAACCAATCGAACGTAATGAATGCACCGTGACCTTTCGCTTAAAGTATTTTAGTCTGCGTAGCCTTTGATCGCACTCGTACTCGTTATAAAACGAAATGTAGTCGCGGTCGCCAAACAAAGTTTTGGAAAAGGCATCCACGAGTAGCTGTCTACATTATTGTAAACGTCACAGAAACAAGAGAGCACGGATGATGTGCAACCTCTACCATTTAACCACTAGAAATGACGGCGCTGAGGCTCTTCGGTACGATGACGCCGGGATTCGCAATCCCATGGCTCCGACCGTGTCTCGGCCTTTACTTGTTAACAACTAAGTGATCATTAAGGATATTAATCATGGCACAATGGCGAAGTGCGCAGGGATCGATGCAGTCATCAATTCTCAGCCCGTCAAACAATGCCGAGAAGGCTTTACTTTTCTTTTCCATCACTCATCGAGGACGCAACACACCGAACAAAGTAAAAGGGACTCCCGTGATAAATGTTCATCCCGCACATTTCATAATCCTGAAACTATACGCGCTGCTTCTTCACATCAATTTATTCCTTGCTTCCAAAATGTTCTCTTTTGTAAGTGTCTCGGTAAACCTCGAGAGAAATATTTGTAATTTGTTTTAGTGCTTTAGCTTTTCAAAACAGGGCCACTAAATCAACGCATATTTTTTTGCTTCTGCTGCTTAGTTAATAGTTTCCAAAATACAATCCGGCGAAATGTTTTTTTTTTTTTAAGAAAAGGCATTGTTTAGTAGACGAAACCAAAACCTAAATAGTTGGAGAGCGAGTATTTACTTCCAGTGCAATTGGGTGTCGAATCCTTAAATATTTCCCACTTTCTTTACTTCTGACCAAGCTAATAACTATTAATCTTTGGTGAATATAGGTAAAGTCATAAAATGTCCCGAACAATAAAATGCTAATGATGTAAAGAATAGATGAAAGAAAAATGTTATCGCATTTAAAAGAAAAGAAGAGCAAGGGGTATTCTCTTGTGTGTTGCCATGCTATCACCAAGGAGAAATGTAGTTATTCGTGCATCCTTTTCTCTTCCCACGCAATGGTTAAGCCGGCCAAGAAGAAGTCAGTAATTTATGGTTTGAGTGCATAACGAAATAGTAAAGTTCGAGTCCTTGCTCAGCTGATGATTTTAATCACGCGGCATGCCAACGGCTCCACATACTTCCACCCCATTATGAACTTCACACGAAGAACGGCATTGAAGCTCCATTCACATACTGGCGTTTGACTACGTCGCGGAGATTAGCGCGCAGATTTTAGATGCACATTACCATGCAGTCAAGCGTTGCAATTCACAGGAAACAGTCTGAACCAATACCCCTGAACCCCTGAACTTCATCATTCGCTCAATGGTTTCTCAGACCACAGTGATAAACTCAGCCCACACACTGCTACAAATTAGACAATGAAACGTTTCTTAATGTAAATATTGCATAAATATATGTTGTGTGCCAGTGCGCACTGGGTTTTCAAAGCTCTCTCGTGTTGATAAGTATACAAAAAGTTTATTATGTATAAGCCGCCAGGGATGATTTTCAGAATGAACTCATTCGGGCGCGATTTTCAACCGACATATTCAATTGAGTAAAATAAGCATCTGAAATAGCCGAGTGCATGCCACAGGGAGCATTTCGCGCAACACCAGTAAGATATCCGCTGGGATAAATTGTGCGCCTATCACACTCCATTTGCTTCGTGGGGCTTGAACGTTTTGTATAAGTGAGGCCTGAAAGTCGCTCCATAATCTGGATTGTGTTCAAAACATAAGGTTTGTGCCAAGGCAATTTAAAACCACGTTAAGTGCGCAAACCATCTTCGCTTATTCTCCATGTTCCTGAAAGCGTATCAATAACCACACTTTTCCTTTTGCTTCTTAGGCCGTACCACTGAGAATGCTTAGCCCAGTGCTACTTACGACCCAGCATACCAAACGTCATATAAGTCATGAAAACAACTACAATACAGATATTATATTTAGTTCTGCGACATGTATCTACAGTGTTGAGTTGGAAGAACGACAAAACAAACACGTCCTATCTCCTGTTCGCTTTCAAGTTATATTGAGAGTATCTGTGTACACAGCGTTCGCAGAATCGCCCGCATGCTATCCTTGTCTTTTGTGCCATGTCTTTCTTCAAACGTGATGGCAATCCCACAGCGCATATCGTGTCGTGTGTGTTCCACCTCTTCGTCTTTGTTCTTGAGCACTGTAAGATTTTTACCGTGCACCTGATTGTATTCTCGACCTGGTTCCTCTTCTCCTTCTGTTGATACACTATCTCCTTTTTGCAGTTGCACTTTATTTTATAACCTGCCGTAACTCTCTATAGTACATTTATGTGTGTTAAAGGTACAAAACAGCGCCTTTCCCAATCGGTTTCCTCCTACATCCACATTGGAGGTATAAAAACTACCTAAAGGCCACTCACGCAGATGGTTTCGTTCCCGCCACTTACAGAGTACCCGCGTGTTGCAGTTCGCCGAATCCCGGCCTACACGACGCACCGCACGTACGACAGCTTCTCGCCCAACGACTACAACTACGAAAATATCCAGTCATTGCGGAGGCCGTCCCCCGTCAAGGTACGCAGAACCGTATGCCTCTACTCGGTTCACCTCTGAGCTGACAAGGCGGTGGAAATAGCGCCCTTGTCGGACCAAGCAGTCACCGGTCTTTCATCGCCTGACCTGGCTCTTTGCGCTAGGAAATGGGCGAAAGTGTAATCACGTATAGTTCTGCTCTAAAATCTTTTAGAGGATAATTATATCTGAAAATGTTTCAGCCTTGAACTCGAGTCTTTCAATGCACTACTGGTCACGAAACTTTTCTGTAACGCCGGAGTCTTTGAGAGAGCTATCGCCGTCAAACTTCAGCGTCGTAAGTAGCGCCACCAAGTAGAGGCACTGCAAACCCCTACACGCTGAATTGTCTGGCTCGTCTTCGCTTGCAAAAACCTGTTTTTTTTTTCTTGTTTTGTTTTTCTAATAAATAAACTTAGTTTGTTTTTAAGTTGTGTTACTATAGATCAATAAACAATGACTGGTGCTTACATAGAGTGATGAATTACTGACGTAAAATAATGTTCGTGTAGGAGAAATAGATTTTTGAAAAATACTTGTCATCGCGAATCTCGGGGTATGTTTTAGCCCTTGTACAAACATTTGGCAGAAGTTCCGTGATTAGTAGCGTATCGAAAGACTCAGCTTGAACCATAAAAAGATATGATCTGAGAAATTCTTTGTCGGGCGGAGCTCGTGGCGAAAATGGCTCGACGAAAATACCCGGATTAGACCGATGGTTACAACTTACGACGGAATTTCGTCGAGGGAATATAGCTTGCCTGTGTTGAGATATATTGATCCAAGATATATACAACTGCCATAATCTAATATAATTCATTTTGATTCTTACAAAATATGAAGCTGACCTTGCATAGTTTGCGCAAGACAACGCAAAAATTCCCATAACTTACGCCACAGTCAATAGCAAACCATCTTCTAGCCGCTGTAGGTTTTTACCTGCGCTGAAGTAACTATACGTGGCCACGCTTCAAGGTTTAGTTCACAAGAGCCGTTACTGAACGAGTTAAGATCTACGTTAAACAGCGCACAAGCACAGAAGGAAGAATATAGAACACAGGAAATATAACACAGTTAAGACCTGTTCACAAAAGATAAACAATCCAACAGCTAAGGGAAGGTCGGAATTGGTGCAGCTAAATTCTTCTTCCTTTATCAATCCGTGTAGGTGAAAATTATTGCTACTTCGTTCAAATACAGCCATAACCCGAGCAAAAGAAAGACGACCTCTGCGCGGTCACCTCGGAGCCGGCGCTCATGAACGATAACCTAAAATATCCCAATCTGTAAGAATTAGTTACCCACGTGGCCAAAAATGCGATCCAAAATGCAGCTCATTCTTTTCAACGTCTCGTAATTTACCTGCACATGGAAGTTGAACGCTAGGGTCCTCAACTTCAGTCTTGACTGTGTTATAGCTTTCCTTGTTGTACTACATTCGTGCCGACGTCAAAATGGAGACTCTGAACTCTAGACAGCGTTTCGATATAAAACCGAGGCACGCGGAGGCAACAAATCCCACACCTGGTCGTTTTATACGAGCTACATTGACAACGCGCTACAATTCCCGTTTTGCTCGAGCGTGTGGGCCAGACTAAGTTGTCGCGCGGCGGCCGTCTCCCCCGCAGATGGACAACGAGGTGCGATACGCCGAGCTGTCGCTGCCCCGGAGCAAGTACCCGGTGCGCATCCGTGAGCCGCCCACCGAGTACGCCCAGATCGACTTCCAGCGCGCGGGCGTGCTGTTCAGCACGGGACAGCCTCCCGAGCACGAGGAGGACGACCCCTGCGCGGTCACCTCGGAGACGCCGCTCATGAACAATATGCAACCCAACGCCAGGGTACGTCACTCCAAACCAACACCACCTAGAAGTCAAGGCCTCCGCATGACGTCATCGTTAGTGGACCGCCCCGAGCCGCAAACACGCCGAAACTCGACGAGAGTATACGCGTCCGCCTTGGCCAGTGTTGAAGGTGTTACCCGAAAAAAGTAACCGAATACGTTACTTGTTACTTGCAAATAAATGTGACCCGTTACCGACATACTTTACCTCAAAATAAAAAGAACTCGTTACCGTTACCGTTAAAAATTAACCCGCATTACTTTCGCGTTAGATTTTTTATATGAATTAACGCTTTTTACTTTTTGAGGTTGCGGCAATGCATAAGCGCCATGTTTCATGAAAAATTACGTCCATCCAGAAACTGAACATCCATCCAGAAACTGAACATCCATTCCAATTTCATATATATACTCACAAAAAAAAACGCAAAGAGAAACGCAAAAAAGGAAAAATATTTCTATGATGTGATGCCTAGAAAGACGAAAAAAATATTTAAGTGTAATTGGTTGAAGTCTTGGGAAGAATATGTAGCGAGTAACGTAACTTACTTTACACGTTACTTGAAATAAGTTACGTAAGTACGTTACCCGTTACTGTTTTGAAAAAGTAACGCGTACGTTATTACGTTACCGAATAAAGTAACGCGGTACCGGCAATGTCGTAACTTGTAACCCGTCACCGCCAGCACTGGTCTCGGCCTAGCCGCGGGCTGGCGGCGTACTGGTTCTGGGACGCTGCGAGACACGCTGCCGGCGACGCTCACGCGAGCTAGGCGACGCTGAGTAGATCCACGAGTGATGACGTTTGGTGTGCGGAAGGCCTTGCCTTCTCTGCGGTATTGCTCCAAGCCACCATTCGAGCAGCCGCCTCCCGCCATGGCGTGGCTTGAAGAACGGTGCAGGCAACACTTCCTGGATGCGGATTTCGCTCGAGTGTAACGAAAGAACGTCGCGCGCAGGCAAGGCTAGAGCCCCGAGATAAAATTCACGCTTGCGTTTCTTCCAAGTATATCGCCAACCATTGTTGCGACAATGAACAAGACACGTGCCGCGAGTGAGCGCTCCGCCGCCATTTGCTTCCGACAGCCGCTGATTTCACTGCTGCGTATCCATTTGCTTTCAAGGGACGCACTCTTGGGGAAAAATGGTCTATATATACCCTAATGAAAGGAGGAACGCTCTCGTCCCCTATCTTCCTTTAACAACAGTGAAACGTTCGTCTTGCGTTAGTTTTTCTTTCTAAGTAATGGCAGTCGTTAAAAAAAAAAAAATCCGAAAAATATGAGCATTGCTTATTTCCTCAACTCGGAGCCAGAACAAGTGGCCACGGGGCCTAGGACCTATCGTATGCGGAAAACGTTGATCACAGCCACGCGCTAGGGTTGGCAAAGTAAACATCGCGTGCTGAGCTCCAGTGGTTCAACACCAGCCACTAACCGAGTCTCCGCCGAGGCATTGATTGTTACGAGCCGAAGTCCAGTGCTCGCGCAGTTCTCGTGTCCAATCCATGAACGACACTCGACTGTCGTCAAGCGGATGGTTTCGATCCCACAATTACGTCATCCAGCTTTGCTAATGCAAGACTGAAAGAAATATTCCCTTTTTACCCTCGCAATTTCACCGCCACAACAAGTTTCTGAATCAGTAGCGGTCTGCCTTCTCTACAAGGGCGCAGCCATCTTGAATGGCGTCACTTCTGGTATGCGTTAAGGTTAGGACATCGCCTTTATCTCCACACGCCGCTGGAAGGTGTTCACGAAAAACCCGTGGTTGTCTCACATTATTGTTTTGTCTCAGCTATATTTTCTCGCATATTTCAGGTGGAAATCTCTTATTATTGTTTGGTCCCGTCTACCAGATATGGAACCTACTTGACTGAGAACGAACGGAAACGAAAAACATCCCTGCTTGAGATAGACTAGGATTAGTACGCCTCTGCAAAGTGATTGACATTCCAACCCGATATATTTTCATGGCCCATTTAACGAGGACGCCAGGACGCCAGGACGCTGTACATGTATCGGTGTTTGCGCAGAACGGTGCGGCGATTTAGCGGCAAAGAGTTGGCAGAGTTTTCGCACCGGCAAATAGCTCGCACCACTGGCGGCCCCCCAGTGCCTCCTTAGCAGCACTCGTTAGAAAAATGGTCAGCCCTCTTCGCACCCGTTTACACAAGTTTCTGCTTTCGAAGCACGATGAGCAGTAAATAAGAACATAACACGAGCGTTGCATAAGCCGTATCACAGCCTTCTTTATTCTAGAATGTCCGTCAATAGACTTCTTCCAAAACCGACGCGCCCCATTGCGGCGAAATACCACGCAGTGCACTCTGGGGACTAGTTGGCCACTCAGTTTCGGTTTCGACTGAACAGGTTCATTTCATGCTATCACGCCGCGACCAAACGCGCCGCTTGCGTTTTCGACTATCCGAATTTTTGCGAATGTACAATACACTCATTCTTGAGTGATACAAAACGAAGACTGGGGCACTTTTCTTGGTTCCCGAAACACCGGAAATTGTGCGCGCGTATGCAAACGTAATAAGACGTGGCTTAGTCACCTCACCCCACGAGTGCATCTTTGAGCTCAATGTCAGTAATCCCGTCTAGTACCAGTGAACCTCCAACTCAAATTTGGTCACTTTGAGCCCTATACGTATTTTGTCTGCCAAACGTCCGCTTCTTGACACTTCATTGGGCGAAAAGCAAGTTGCATCCTCACAGGATTATCAAGAGCCCTGCGTTAGCGCGTGAACTATTAAGGAAACGCAATAAATTCGACCTCACTACTGCACGAAAGTTACTATGATGCCTTCCTCGTGTCATCACATATCTCACACTAAAATTTTATGCTGATAGAAGGTTAAGTTTTTTTGCAAACGCTGAGATCGGCTAGCTACGACGGAGGCCCCAACAAGCGTTCCCTACTCCTCGCTAAGCCCTTTTGGACGAGCTTTTCCTGGCGCCCAAGATCTCTGCCTGAGCGGTGTGCCGTAAATTATGTCGGCATACTTAGCCAGGAATAAAGCAAACACATAACAAATATAATGGCCATTAGAAACTGTCAAATGCGCTTTGAATAATTTCGTTCGTTTGGCGTACCGCATAGAAGTTCATGCCCGCCCGGTGCACTTCCGGCGAACGGTGCGGCATTCTTCACACAAGTGCTCGACTTCTGCTTTCTTGAAACGGTTTGTATGGGCAAATGTGCCTATATGGTTGCAGGATAACTTTATGGGCATACGCGATGTTGAATATTAGTGGAATGGAAGCGGGTGAGGATACCACTTCGTGCAGTGCTGCGGGGCAGTACAGATAAGAGATGACAAGTGTGTTTAAATGAAGTTTTTTAATGGCGCCTCCGAGTTTTACATCGCGTACTCAGGCGTATTAAGAAAAACAGTAATTGCAAAAAGTTATATTTCGTCTATGGACGCACGAAACAAGCTTCCTGATGAACACCACTAATGTAAAGGCGCGAGCTCGATGTATGCATACTTATTAGGTTGCTACAGCTTGCTGATTTGTACACAAGCAAGATCCCCGAGCTTCGCAGCGTCGAGATTCCCAGCACTGGCTCGTTCACATATCTTGAAACGCTAATAGAAAGGCTCAAGTACAAAAATACAACAAGCGTGCGTTAAGACAAGCTATACGTCTCGGGCTTGTGCTAAAGCTTCGAGATCTGGCCATTTAGGTTAGTTTAGAGACCACAAATGACGCTCTCAGGAGCAGAAGGCATAAGATAACATCCGTTAATGTGTTTTTTTTTTTTTTAACAAATTGGTTGCGGGTAAGAAATGAAACAATATTATTTTTTCGGATCCACAAGCCTTTCTTTACTGAAGTAGTGCCTCATTGCCAACAATTCGTTACTTGGATCACAAACAATTTTCGTTTTTATCATTTATATTTTATCCAGTTAACTTTATGTTTTCATAGTTATTGTATTTGAAGAATGGAAAAACCAAACGTGCCAGTAACTATGTTGTTGTTGTTGTTGTTTTTGTTCTTGACAGACTTTTTATCTCGTAATTTCTAATTTGAAGTCTGCACAACTAAAGCTGTGTTACATATATTGATCCAAATATATTTATTTCTAGAGTACGTGACGGTTTCTGCATTTTGAAGCTGTATATTATACCAACAGGTAAATATTTTACCAGCCACAGTCACAAAACTGTCAAAATAGAGCCAAACAAAAAGTGGCAGCATATCACGGCGTACAAGCCTAAGGGCTTTCGTCAACGGCTAACTGCCAATTATTGGGAATTCGATATAAATGGTCATTAGGAGAAAAAAACGTTCAGCCTTTATACTCTGGTGAACAAGGAAGAGCAGCGGAGCTGTACTATGTGCCGCCATCTATGAGCAACGGCGGCAACCCGACAACCGGTAAGCCGGTTGTCTAGTTGATGCCGTCGCTCATAGATGGCGGTAGCTGTCTAGAGCGTTGTGTCGAGATTTATTTGTTCACGGACACAAAACTGGGGAAACTAGCCTTTAACAGCTCCGCTCTAAAAGAATTGTGATCCCCAGCAGGGTGTTTATCTTCGCCTGTCAGTGGTCAAGGCTATAAAAAGGAATATCTGTATATTGAACAATAAAGGAAACACAAGCGTGAAACAAACTTGAAAAAATACTGATGCTAAATGCCTTCAGCGAGTGTTTTCCCTAGCTTAAAGACAAACAAAAAAAATGCTGAATATACTGAATAGCTTTACAAAAGCCGGCATAGTAAAGTGTGAAGCCTGATATTTGAACCCTATGAATACACAAAATGTGTGCAAAAGAAAACTAGCAAACCAGCATTTCTGTTTTACGTCTAAATTTATTTTACGAGAATACCGCTTTATGTTTTGTTTCCTTTCAATTTTATGTTTTCCCCAATACCACGCGTTGCATGCCTATATATAACTCTAGTCATTCCCTTTTTGGGTAGTGCTTTAATTTTCCTAAAGTTAGTTTTTTGAAGGATGACGTTCGAGAGTTCGATATTCGACTAAAAGCCAAATATGGGTAATACTATGGATAGTACTACCAATTGCACGATCGCTAATACTATCGATAGTGAACTGCTGATAATACTATCGATGGTGCTATCGATAGTGAACTCTCCATAGTACTATCGATAGTCCACTATCCGTAGTTTTTGATACTATCGATAGTTTTGGAAAAACTATCGATGATATCAATAGTCAGTTTTTCAATAGTTTTGCATCACTCCACTAATCTTACCCAACTATAGAGCTCAGCGTTCTGACGTCCCACGCGCTCTCGTTTCCTCCTCTTCCTCATTTTCTCGGCGTATTGCAGCTACTATTCAGACCAATATTCCAACATGACTATCTGCAGGCCGATCGATTGTACCGTAAACGAGAATGTCACCTACAACGATAAGTAATTCCACCTGTTTACCCCCCCGGTACACGAAACACATTGCGACATTGGTGACGACTTGAGTCATCGTGCACAAGGCACAAAAAAAAGGCGATGTCGGTGACACGAACTTAAAACACAAAATCGCGTTGATCGTTGGTTCGCACTTGGTAACAGGAAACAAAACGGAACGTAGCACAGATGACGCGCAGCCACACAGCAGCAGAATCTGTCGGTCTTGGTCGCGACGTTTCCAGAACGTCGAAACAACCGAAACCACGCGCGCGTCGCGCGCCACCAGACTATAGGGAGTATTCACTGGCGGCCATAGCTGTGTGCGCGAATGCTGAGCGCGTGTTGATGGCGAGCTTCCACAGTTCTTTTGCAACGTGCATTCCGCACCATCAAAAGTGCCGGTCTTAGCAGCCTATTGATGTAAGCTCGTTCTGAGCATGCGCTCTAAACAGCACCCACAAATATGGCGTCTAGTGAATACTTCCTATAGACGCTTTACACACGCGCCAAATTACAGGCGCCATTGCTGACCTTCTCTTGTCTTACCGAGATGCCGAGCAACTGAAACGGTAGTTGACGATCCTCTACAAAGGCCGATGCTTCAGAAAAAGGACACAGTTGAATCTAATATGGCAATAACCTGGCCTGCTATGGTAATGATGAAGTGAAATAAACGGAATAAGAGGAAACTAAAACTGAAGGTCAGTTATGGCGGCGTCCATGCACTGCTGCTGCAAAGCGTCTATAGGGAGTATTTACCGGAGGCCATATCCGTGTGCGCTGCTGCTGAGCGGGTGCTGACGGCGAGCTCCCGCAGTCCTTTTGGAGCGTGCATTTACCACCATCAAGGTTTCCGGTCTTAGCAGGCTATTAATGTGAGCTTGTTAGGAGCATGAGCTCTAAACATCGCCCTCAAATATGGCGTCCAGTGAATACCTCCTATAATCTTAGCCCAGTGTACGTAGCACTGCTGGCATTGTTCTGAAACTTGGATGCTTCTAACAGCTTCTTTTGTTTGTTTGACAAAATGTGGGGTAAAAAACGTCAGTGCTACCGAGGCTCTCTGCGTGTTTGGATCGGGAGATTTAATTACGGTTGACCTCACCCCCACTGAGGCTTAATCGGCTCAACAGCGTTTATTTAACGCGACGGTGCGACTTGCCCGAAAAACGAAACCGAAAGAAAATGGGGCAAGGTGCAAGAAATTTCCTCCCGTCCGTCTGCCTGGAGAAGGATAAAAACGTCTTGTTCCTCCCTTCTTCTTGAGTCCGCTTGGGGGCGCGTCGGTAGCAGGGAGGAAAACGCGCAGTTCCTACTTCTTTTTCTAGCTCTTTTTCTTAAGAGTGAGCACGAGGCACGGACCTGGTGTACTTGTGCATTTGACGGGACTTGCAAGACAAACGCCAACACATCAAACGCGGCTTTTGCCAAGGCAACATCATACTTAGTCCATAGCGCAGATACCGCATAGGCCTCCAAACACAATGCACACTTAGTTATAATTAACCATACGTAATCACAATTCGGCGTAATAAGCGTGATTTACCACCTGGCTCAGCGGGAACCGAACCCGGGCCGTGTGATCCGTAGCCCGATACCTTCGCCAGGCGCCTTGAGAAGAAGATGAAAGAGAGCGCAAGGCGACAGGACGAAGTGTGACTCGCGAGAGCCTGCGTGAGCAGGTGACCGTCGTGCAAGTGGCTTCCGAGTGACCAAGCGTAGCTCCCCACGTGATCTCACGACGTCACAAGGCGCAAGACCTTGTGACGTCCGTTGGTGCGTTTTGATCCCAACGCACCAACGGATAGCTCAGCGGATATCTGATGTCATGACTTGGCACAGCAGCTAAAAGATAGAATAGCTGGCTCGATAAACCCCAGTCCTTTTGGTGTGTTTGTGTTCGTTTTACAAGTATAGCGACAGATGCACCGATACACGAGGTGCGTACGGCGTGCAGCCCTTAGAGACGAAAGGCGGCGCAGCACTGAAATGAGCGGCCCTTGGAAGCGAATGGCGGCCCTAGACGCAGTCGAGGCACATGTTTTTGCGCGTTCACACGAAAATGGTTGTCGCTCTTTGGAAGAGACGCGAGGATCGAATTTTATAAAGGGGCTCTATGATAAACCTCCCTCCCTCGCGACTACTTCAGCTGCCACAAAGGGCGCCTCGCAATCCAAAATCACTAACTCAAGGCCTCACACGCACCCTCAAAAAAGGCAGGTCCTATATAAAAACTATGAAAACACTCCTGAAAAACGTTGAACTTGCCTCGAGTGTTCTGATGAACCCGGGGGCCACAAGTGTTTGTCGGGTGTCGAACGCATCCGAAACCACGCATAGCCCTCCGTAACCAAACATAACAAATCATAACGCACGCTTAATACTCCCCCGGCACAATATGTGCTTCACGGGTTTACCAGAATTATTAGGACTTCTCTTTTTTTTCTGCGTGAACGTTCGTTGTTTACGTACCTTGCAAATATTTGACTCAATAATCGTTGACCTCAGTCTACTGAGGCCTTCATTAGCGATATAAACTATATAGAGTTTTATTGTTGTTTATTTTCTTTTTTCTCTCGCAGCATCTAAGCGGTGCATCGAGCGACCACAACACGATATCGACACCAGTGTGACGGCACCCCGTCTAAGCTAATCTTAGTGTTTTAAGGTCTCGTGTGCCGGAGACAACAGAGCTGATGTCCACGCGGGAGAACAAGAGAACCAACAAGCCTAAACAATACAAGATCCAACGACGGAAGAAAAAAGAAAACCTTTTTCCGCACGGTGACAAAAGGTTGTCCTTGTGAGTGGTGTGTGTACATAGATTGACTTGCCCGTGACACGGAAGCTCAACTATCGTCGAGAGAGGCATTCCTTCTACACTAGTCATCGGACATCCGTGAACTGGGAGAAGACTGAACAAAAACAAACAAGATAGGAAAGAAAAGGTAGGCCGAAGTAAGGAAAAGGAATCTACGGGCCGCTAGGAAAACCAAGTTCCCCGATTCCGGCCTCACTACGATGCACAGCAGAGATCTACTTCACCCCACCTACGTCCAGGAAAGCGCAGCGGGAAGGCGCGCGCCCAGGACTTTCCACGTGAATGTGAAGGAACTTAACCGAACGGATGCGAACTCCGCGCGAACATCGCGTGAATCTGTCGTGTTTGGATGAGTGGTAGCGTGTGCGTGAGAGTGTTCGCGTGCCTGTTCCGAACAATAAGAGCACAGTTTTTGTTTTCTTAATATTTTGAATTGTTATACTAAGGTCACACACGATTTGGTTTCATACCTTTGGTTTCTGCATCTTCTATATAAATACTTCATACGGACTCATACCACAAACTTCTTATCTCTACAATAAAATATATAATTATTACCATTGTGCAAAGGTCGGCCTCCTTGGAACTCTGTGCATGTTTGTTTTATGAGCGTACGACGGTTTGAGATCCCATGTGGAGATAGTGAAGTGTATCCGTCACGTAAGGCTATTCGCAGCGCCAGAGGACGCGACGCGACGCTACCCAGCAGAAAGGACAGAAAGGAGAGAATTGTTTCGCTTCTGCCAACGGAAGCGTGCAACAAAACCTGGAGCGGTCTGGTGGCCAAAATGTGAAACAGAAAAAAAGACCAAATGAACGCCGTGGAGTTGCAAATAGGCGCCGCGCTAAAACAAACTCTCTAGGTTGAACTGGTGTGGATTTTTTGCTCTGTATAGGACTCCTTTCATGTCCTCGTAATTCAGGCCACATTAAGCTTCGCGCTGTGACCATCTCACTCTGCACAAGCTTTAAACCAGTTCGTAAACTCGTTTTCAAAGCGGTTTCTTTTTATATATATATCTGAAAGAAGACAATTTAATTATCTTCCGCCTAGAGTACTTCAGGGTATATTGACTAAGACTTCTTTTTTTAGAAACTTGAGATTCTGCACGTTTATATTTGGCGTGAAAATTCTTAAAGTACACATGCAAAGCAAAAAAAAAAACATTTTTTTCAAGACAGCTTAGATAGAAAAAGGATATCATGAAACGACTTTTCAACGAAGAAAAACATTTTTTAGAGCTATATTGACGACGCTATACTAATTTCTAGTTGGCGTCCGCGGGACGCCGCTGGTCACGTGATACGCCTGTGCACCCTGCGTCGCCGCCGCCGCAAAGTCACGACGACGACGCACGCTGAGCGTTGTGCAGCGCCGCTTCAACGCGTTTCTCCACGCCGCCGTCGCCGCCACCCCACAAGTTCGTCTGCTTCGGAGCGCCGCCGCCGTCATCTGACCGGCGCACAGGTCTATCACGTCTGCTTGCGCTTTTTCATGAATTTCCTTTGGGCTCTAAAGGCTATTTATTAATCTTAGTCGTTTGTTATACTCGAAACAAAGGTGAATAAGTTACTTTTGGAGGCCATAGGAAGCTTCCGAAAGAGCGCAAGCAACACGTGATAAATAAGGGCCAGTCACGTGATAAATAAGGGCCCCTTTCCCGCGGCGCCCCCGGCGCCAACTACAAATTCGTATAGCGCCGTAAATATAGCTCTAAAAATGTTTTTCTTCGTTGTAAAATCGTTTTCTGATATCCTTTTTCCATCCAAGTTGTTAAAAAATGCTTTTTTTTTCCTTTGCATGTGTCTTTTAACAAAATTATATTACCTATCCACGCGAGAAAATTCAAGGGAAGCTGAAATAAAACAGTTGATCAAGATGTTGGACGTCCGCCTGACGTAGGAAATGACGATGAAAACCTTAGCCTGGAAGGCAGCATGCATTCACATCTCAGGTAAGTAAAACCATGTTTTGTGGTTTGCTCAAGATACAAGAGTGTTCGCAAACTAACAGTTCAAAAATACGACCCTTTTATTGTGCCTCCATACTTCGTGCTGTCGCGACATTAAACGCTACAGCTAAAAAAGGTGGCGTCAGATAACTGGTGACATAATGTCATAAAACAAGAATTAAACATGTTCAACGTTAATTGTAGACCTACGTAAGTTTGAATTGGAAAAAAAAATACGTAGCTTACTATTAGCACCAATATTCAATTCAGATTTCTATAGACGTGTTTATACTGAATCAGCAATAAACGCGGACATCTTGTTGACATATCATTCCAGTCTTAAAACCTCTCATCTAGAAATGACGCAGAAGTCGAACCTTGGGGCTCGCACTTTTTATATCTGAAGCCTCCGCTGCACGATGAAAGGACCTGTAACGAAAACATGTTCATGTTAGCAAAAACGCTGAGAATCATTACAAATTAATATCTAAAAGTATATTAAAACGTTAAGGGAGATCGGGATAACGCCAACATTCACAGGTTTCGGGCCTTCAGTTATTTTAAAAGTAAGTGAAAACGTTTCTCAGATGGGAAAGCATCGGCCCTGGCGGCCGTGACATAGCGCAGTCGGCGCTGCTTGATTTGTGCCATAGGAATCTGGCGTTGGCTGTTCTCGGAGTTTCGAACTTACAGCGAAACCAAGTGCCATGTCACACTTTTAGAAAAAGCGACTACCTCTCAATAACCGTTATAACTTCTTCACTAGTTGTTTACCACCTGAAATATGGCACAGGCAGTAAACGTGCTTGTTACCAGAAAAGGAAATCGGGATAGTAATCATTACTATATTCTAGGATGACTTTATCTGGCTATGCAGTTAAAGCTACGGGCGCATGGGCGCTCGAGCACCTTGAACGCCGATCATACCTGCACACGAGCACTCTTCAGTTCTGAAATGCTGAAATGCTACAGAAAGTTCTCCATGAGCATAGTGTTGCTACGGAACTATGCGGAGAAGAGAAAATACGGCGATATGAAGTGCAGAGGAGCAGGCAGTTATATCGGCTTTCAAAAATAATTACATCGGATTTTTTGGATTTTTTTTTACAAGCAGTTTTTGTTTTTGGATTATTCAAAATCAAATTTGAGGAATGAGTTTAGTGAGAAGGAAGCAACATTCTTGTAAAATTATTTAATCATTGAGAAAAGGCGTCCTTCAGAATGGTAAGTATAAAAGGCGAAAATTCAATAGAGTGAGTCGGTTATTGGTGTAGCGTGCGTTCGTAGTAGTGTTTTCGTGTGCTCACTTTGTGTATCCGATTCTTGCGTGTGATGCGTCCATCCTATTGATGACGTGTGTAATGTGTACAGTATACAATGTTAAACCCGAGAGCAATGCAAATATTTTTGTGACATTTGAATACGGCAATAGCTATAGCGCCACCTAGTTTCATGAGCCAGGTGGCAACTAGGTTTTTCGCGGCAGTTAGAATCAATTTCTAAATCAATCTAAGGGTTCCTGCTAGATCTTGTGGGTAAGGCTAGTTCCCGTTACTAACTTCCTTGGTTAGTAACTGTTACGAACACTGCCTGTACTAACTGGAGTTAGTAAAGGGTGAGTACCACTGGTATGTACCCGTGGCACACACCATGTCCTCGACCGAGTCGGGTGCTCACGCTGCCCCGTCACAAGCTCGACCTCAAGCTGAGAGACTTCAAGGCCCGCTTTCGCGAAGACCGGCGCCCGGTCAACACCGGCGCCAACCCCAGGGGATCCACCACGGGGGTGCTGGACTCCCTGCGTCGCCGGAAATTCGGTTGGCTCGTCTGCAAGCTGGGCACGCAGCGAGCCCTCGCCAGGCGCTCGAGACCGGCCTCCTAAAAGTCAGCAGTCCATGGTGGCTCTTCGAAGACCACCATCGCGAAGACCGCTGCTAGCCCTAGCGCCTTTTGCCCTCTTTGCCATCTCATCATCATCATCATCCATACAATTCTCATCTGTACAATACCATTTCATCATCATTAAAATCGGCGCCGCCAGCCTTCACGCTATCGGCGACTTGCCTTTCTGCGGCGTGCGGCTCTCCTGAGCTCAAATATATATCAATATCAGTCAACCAATATCAACATTTGTGACAAGCAGTTATTTGCCTACGGTTAGTTAGTACTAGGATATGTTTTTAGAGTGCACAGCGGTAAAGCTTTGAGAAACCTTTATTATCTACCCGAGAGTCTACTGATCTTGAAAATGATACCTATTGATAGATAATCTACTGAAAATGCATATCCATGTGATGAGATGTATAAGCTTTTGGATAGAATGAAACGATTTTGCATAAAAATGGGGACCCAAGTTTTTGCTGACGCACGCGAAAAATCTACGGAACCCCAGCCTTATACAGCTTCGCTGTAAAAAACAATCAAAGATCGAACCACCGAGGTCATCTCCAACGTTGGGAGGAGCATTGTTCCGGAGGCCAGGACATGTGACAAATGAAAACTGGACATTTTGTTGGAATCGCAAACGCTGTTATTACAAAATGTGTGTGCTTTTGTAGATGATAAAAGCAAATATGAGTAGTCTAAAGGTGTTAATTTCTCGCGGAGAGGGAACATGATATTGCAATAATCGTCCCAAAAACAGCACACTATGGTTGGCTGTTTTCTTTTTTTCCGCGGGAGTGATGCGTCCGGTCGTCAGCTCTCGAGTGCGCGCTCGCTGGGATGAATCGTAGCCTGGACTGTGTGGGCAACGAGCCGCGCGCAATCGAGATATCACTCCGCGGTTCCACCGTCCGGAGGCGCGAAGATCCTTCGTGTGCTATTGGCTGACAGTGGTCCTGGTCTCGGGACATGCTGCTCCCATTGCTGGAGATGACCTCGGTGCGTTGCGAACTTTGATTGCTTTTTAATAGGGAGTACGGCCGCGTATTGTCATGATTTAGGGATTTTTAGGATGCTCGGAGCAAGCGGAGTGAGTTATCGCCGTATTTAAGCGATCTCAAAAACCTCCTCCGGGCATTTTTAAGAAACGACGGATTGGACGAGTCCTGATCGTCTTATTATGACTCCCCGGCGAATGAATTCGCCGATAAGAACGCCGAAAAACGATTCGCGAAGCCACAAGTGTGAATATATTAACCCCGCGTTTTTTTGAGCTGCCGGTGATTATAGTGGCATCCTCGCCAATTGTCTGAAGACGCCATATTTGTGTCCCTGGACTCTCGGCACGTGTATTGAAAACACGAGTGTTGTGCCAGCGCCTGGCGAGCGTGGACCTTCTCCCAGTCGTTGAGCCGGTGGGCGTATTGGCTTCGGGCTTGGGTCCACGCTTCGCGCAGAAAGCGATGCCCACATGTACCGACATCCGACATTGCGTAATAAGGTTCTATAGATGGTCAACCCAGGCGTGTCAAGTCTTTCTTACGTAAACAACGACTGCCAAGCAGAAAGGTTCTTCTTTTGTCTAGTCTTCCTTCGTCTACAGCCTACTAACATCTCGAAGCTCTTGTTTTTTTTAACATGAGGTAGTCATAGAAACTATGGGATAGCACGACGTGAATGTGGGCAGAGAAGCCGACGGCCACATAACGCTCTGCGTTCCCTTTGGCACTGCGGCAGCCAGATCACGCTGAACGGCTTAATAAAAGGTGATCGGCAGTGAAAAAAGTAAGCAGCCCTGTGTCAATTCACAGTCACAGCGAAAGCTGCGGCACGTCACGGCGAAGTCTTTGGCCATCGGCGTCGCGTTTACGCAACCTTGAGGTGCGTGAGCAAATGTGTTCGGAACAAAACAGTTATCTCACCATTTCGTTCCGAACGCTTTTGTTTCTTTTCTGTTCTGGCGCGCGTGAACCAGCGTCCCCCGGCGCGAGCCCTTGGCATTGATAGTGCTACGACGGCATTTTGTTATCGGCTATTTTGTTTTTCCAGAGAACGCGTTCAGTGGCAATCGGACCCAAAGTATAGAACTTGTTCGCTTACTCTCGTCCCCAGTCACATGGTAGGCATATCCACTATGGACAACGAAAAAAATATTAAGACATTTTAACCTGAATATATAAAAAAAATAGAGGGGAGACAAACCGATAATTGAAAACGGCTACGCTTATATCCGAAAGGTGTTTTGTCGTGGCGACGGCAAAACAATATTTTCGCCCGTACTCGAAGTGACGATATTTCAAGATGGCGGTGACCTTGTAAAAAAGATTTATTGGCGACGAGATGTTTGGTGGTGCCACCTCGCGGACGCCCTCCTGTGACGCAGCTGGTAGGATCCGAGCAGAGGATGCGCTATGTCCAAACAGTGGCTATGTTCACATCGATGCTGATTAAAAACGGTTTATTTATTAAGGAAACGCGTATATCGTTTATGTGAGTGATCTTTCTAATGAATAACAGCACCTCGAAGTTGCTTTTTTTTTCATATTAGAAAAACTTTAGAACGTTCAAGAACAAGCCTGGAGCTTCACATTACAGCGTGAAAGGGCTATTCACAGCCCCTCTGATTCTTGTTTTTCGGGATCTGTGGAGGCTGCTGTAAAAAAAGGTTTTGCATTAAACAGAGTAAATGACGTGCTGTCTTCTTAGCTGTGCACGCGCACACAGTTGTGTTGAATTGCGCCGCACGCTTGTTTTAGCTACATTGAGCTTGCCAATGCCGACGCTTCGATCGAAGTGTGACTTGGCAGTTCCTGCCGAGCAAATGCTCGTCAGCAGCTGACGCTCAGCACCTCCCGAATCGAATGCATGGTAAAGACGCTTGTCACATCGCGACTTCTGCTCGAAAGGAAGGCAGAAATGTTCATAAATGCTTAAATGTTCGGATATGACCCGGCAAATTCCGGCGATTGATCAATTTGTTCTATCCTATTTTTGCTAAGATTTGTTTACAAATTTAAAATCCCTCACTGAGAAGCCCATCACTCATTATGCGCATTTGGTTCCGCCAAAATTAAACGTACAAAAGGTAGTAATTCATAGACGGTGTATTCCTCATTTCTTGGGACGGTGGAGTGTCACCGACTTACTAAAATGAAGACTTCGTTCGCGAGGGTGCCTCGCACCTTTTGCGTCGATCGGGTGAATAAGCAGGGATTTAGTTGAAACGACACTAGAAGCCAGCCACCGCTTCTTTCTGCCAGTTATTTTGATGAACTGTTTGTTTACAGGTTTATAAAATTTCAAAAGGAATCAATGCAGAACTAACAAAAGACATGCACTCACAGAACACATTAGAACCACCAGGATACACGGAATCGCTTTCAACGAAGTGTTTACTATACACGCGAGAGCTTCTCGAATTTCGATTTCCTATTTTCAATCTGACTAGACATTTCTTTCTTAGTTTTATATTGTCCAAATCATAATAAAAAATACACATAATTCTTATAATTATAATGCAATTAAATGCAAAGGGGCAAGCGAGC